CTGCTGCTGCTGCTGCTGCTGCTGCTGCTGCTGGTGTATGCACACACAGGAAACATAACCTACCTGCACTGCACTGAACACACGCCCACCTTGGCATTAAACTCCTCCTGGTTGAGCCACCCGCCCAGCTTCAGCAGCACAGTCAGCGCCGGCGCAGGAGCAGACCCGAACTCGAGGGCGGAGGCGAGCTGGGGGAGGATCTTGTTGAGCAGGATGGGGCGCGAGAGCTGGTCACAGAGGGTGGGGAGGCGGCGGAAGAATCCGTCCTTCTCCACGCTGTCCTTGAGACTCAGCACCTCCATGAACTGCACCGTCTCCACCAGCTTGTTCTGAAAGAACTCTGAACGGAATGCAGTTTGGTTGGGGTACATTGGCGCAGGGAATGGGTGGGAGGAATGCTGTCCTTGAGGCTCAGCACCTCATGAACTGCACCGTCTCCACCAGCTTGTTCTGAAAGAACTCTGAACGGAATGCAGTTTGGTTGGGGTACATTGGCGCAGGGAATGGGTGGGAGGAATGCTGTCCTTGAGGCTCAGCACCTCCATGAACTGCACCGCCTCCACCAGCTTGTTCTGAACGAACTCTGGAAAAGCAGGGCGAATGCACATAAAGGACAGGCAGCAGAAATGGAACCTGTGGGGCGGGGGGTCCTTGAGATTGAGCACCTCCATGATGAACTATACCATCTTTGCCAGCTAGTTCTGTACGTATTCCGTAATGTGGCCGACAGAGGGGATAGACGGGGAGGGATGGGGTGGGATGGAGAGTGGTACGACGACACAGGTGTGCTGTGCTCGAACGTTGACCTAATCAAATTGTCAATAGTTGCACTCTGGCTAGACTCAACAGTCAAAGTTGCAGGCTCACCACTATTGTCAATGAGCTTGGCAGGGTTGAGTCGCCTTGCAGGGGCGGAGCTGAGCAGGCGCTGGTAGTCAGGGAGAAGGGTCTGTGCGTGGAGAAGGAGGGCGGAGGGAACCGGGGGCAGGGAAACGGGGGGAGGGGAGTTTGGAGCAAAGCAAAGTGTGGTGGAATGGCCTTTTTGAGTCGACTCAGAAGTCGTCTTGCAAGGGGCAGAACTGAGCAGATGCTGGTATTCAGGGAGAAGGGTTTGCATGTGGAGAAGGAGGGGAAAGGGCGGGGAAAGGGGAGGTTGGGGCAAGGGTTGAAGGAAGAAGTAAATGCATGAGCATCACCTTAGGAATGCAAGCCGTGTTTCTAAGCTCCTCTGTGCGTGTCAGCTGGTGCCCCGAAAACACTTCCTGGATCAGACAGCCTGCTCGCATGAGAGGTGGGGAAGTGGGCGAAGGGAGTCAGAGGAAAAGGAAGAAGTTTAAGAGAGATGAAACAGCCACGAAATAATGAAATGAACGAAAGGGACATGGAAGAAAGGCGGGTGGAAAGGAGTAGGGAAGTCAACGAGTGGATGTGAGCCACTCTTAACGAGTGGAGAAACCAACGAGATGAGAAGCACATATTACTCACCAAGGCCCCAGGAGTCGATGGCGTAGGGAGGGCCCCTCCTGATGGCCGCCCAGTCGCTCTTGGCGAACTCCATGGACTTGTACTGCGCTCCTACCATCCACTCGTATGGCTGATGGCGCACGTGTGTGAGGCATGGTGGATGGTGCAGCCGATACACACACACATGCTCACACGCACGTGGTAGGTAACACACACGCACATGCACATGGCAATGCACACGCACATGCCATGCCATCCCAACACACCATCCATGCACATGCAACACACATGCCAAGGCGAACAGGAAACAGACAAGCATACAGAAGCGAAGGTAAAGAGAGAGGAAAGAAGAACATGCTTTCGAAAATCCTCAAAGACGCCCTGAAAGAAGACCACAGGCACGACTGTACGCTGGCACGACTGTATGCTGGCACGACTGTATGCTGGCACGACTGTATGCTGGCACGACTGTATGCTGGCACGACTGTATGCTGGCACGACTGTATGCTGGCACGACTGTATGCTGGCACGACTGTATGCTGGCACGACTGTATGCTGGCACGACTGTATGCTGGCACGACTGTATGCTGGCACGACTGTATGCTGGCACGACTGTATGCTGGCACGACTGTATGCTGGCACGACTGTATGCTGGCACGACTGTATGCTGGCACGACTGTATGCTGGCACGACTGCATGCTGGCACGACTGTATGCTGGCACGACTGTATGCTGGCACGACTGTATGCTGGCACGACTGTATGCTGGCACGACTGTATGCTGGCACGACTGTATGCTGGCACGACTGTATGCTGGCACGACTGTATGCTGGCACGACTGTATGCTGGCACGACTGTATGCTGGCACGACTGTATGCTGTCACGACTGTATGCTGGCACGACTGTATGCTGGCACGACCAATGGCCCACTGGCACTAATAAGCAATCAACCATCTCGGATTCAACTCAGCAGCTGTTGCCTCTCTCTCACCAGCATGGGCCCCTCAGGCGCGTCTGCCTTGCCCCCATCGAACTCTGAAAGCACATCAAAGCCGTGTAGCTTCCAGTCCAGAGCACCGGTGGTTACCACTGCCGCCATGCACACGTTGCCATGCACCTGCAAAATTAAGGGATGCATAGAGATTGCATCAGGGAGGAGAAGATGCATTAAGACGTCCAGACCTGACCAGGCAAACACATTGCCATTCACACATTGCTCTCCACAACTTGTTTGCATGGCAGGGAAAGGATGGGTGAAGAGGGGGGGGGGGATGGATTGAGCATGGGTGATTGAAAGGGGGCATGAACACATGATGGGCCAAGGGCATATATGTCTGATGAGCCCACCAGCTTGCAGTCGTTGTTGAGAAAGCTGACAGCCTTGGCCACTTGCAGCAATCCCCATGCGTAGTACTCATCCCTGCACACCAGCATGGCAGTGACACACACACAGCGCACAGCACACAGCACAGCATTGCAGCGCACCGCCTGATCAGCACATTGCAGTGTTGTGCACAACACACAGCGAAGCACTGTGCTTTCGGCCGCACTCACATTCCCTTCAACCTCATCCCTTCCCGCTCACCCCTCCGATCCCCACCCCCTCTCCCACTCTTCAAACACATCCCCCCGCTTACCTCTGCGGCCCCTTGAGCTTGAGCTCTTTCAGCCGGAGGTCCAGCGGCATGACGGGCTCGGTGATGATGTAGACGGTCGGCTTCTGCACGCCGCCCTCCTCCTTCTCCACCTCCAGGCTGTTCAGAAACGACAGCACGTTCGGGTGCCGCAGCTGGCAACGCGAGGGTGTGGAGGAAAGGTGCGGAACGGGGGAGGGGGAGAGGAAGGCGAAGGACTTAGTAACTGCGGTTCGGAAACGCTCCACCGACAGCACGCTCAGGTAACGCAGATGCGGAGGAAAGGTGCGGAAATGAGGGAATGGGGTAGTGGGGAAGGGGGGGTGTTGGACCAGGGGGAAACGACAAAGAGCATCAGACAGCTGGTTCATAAGCTAAGATTTGCAGCAACTGTAGGTACATGAGCGTTGATAAATCAGATTCACGAGAATTTTGGTATCATTGAACGCACCATTCTGAGTCGCTTGACGCAGTTACGGGCAGGAGCAAGTCTGGCGTCTTGAGGATTCGAACCCGTTATGGAGAAAATTGATACTGCACTGCCATCCTCCTGACAGCACACGCAGTGCACGAGAATTTACGTACACGGATGAGAGCACGCACGCACAAATGTGCCACCTTATTCGACATCGCATGACGTGGCATCCAGTGACAGGCTTGATCCTTTTCAGGAGTGCGCACAATGTTAGACGGAGGCGATCGTATTACGATCAGCCCTTCTTACTACAGCACATAGCTCCCACCCTTCTCAGATTCTCACGTGCCTCACGATATTAACACAACCAGCAACTGCTATTGCACTCAGGAAAATTCAGAATTTCTCAACCTTACAACAGACATCATTGCAATCAGCGATTGCTCCGTCAGCTCAGGAGTTCGCACCTTGCAGGTGCCTTTGTGGTGCGTCCAGGGGCCCCATGCTGACGGATAAGCTTCGCCAATGTTATACGGAAATTCTTTTGCTCCTCCACCAGTCCCCAGCACCGATCGCAGGAACTGCATGGCGGCTGGCCTGACTATCGATGGCTACGTGACAGTGGTAACTGAGAGTGACACTATCGAGTGAAGTGATAATAGCATTAAAAACGCAAGTGTGTATAAACTTTTTATATTCTTCACTCTCTAACTTATAGATTCCTACCAATTTCTGGTGGATATTCGGCGAGCAGCTGGTGAAGCTAGGGGTGAAACCTGACGTGTGAGAGAGGTCAGTTGGAACACAGTTTCAGTTAGAGCGAAGTATAGCACTGTGATTAGCTGGAAGGAGTGTTGTGCATCTCCAAAGGCTGCGACGACGCGACTAAAAGCTAACGTAGCGTCAGAACTGTAACTCGGTGAGTGAGACAGCACCAAAAGTGGTCCTTTAAGTCGCCGCAACAGTCAGCTTTGCTTATGACTCCACGAAGCCGCACTTCGACGCAATAGTGCAGTTAAGTTTTAACGAGTTACGATCACAGAGCAAGAAAGACGCTGTGAGAAGAGGACTGCTGGGACATTGGACAGATTTCCAAAATTCCAGCCTCCACTAAACTTCAGTCTAGGAAAAGAAACAGCGACAACAGAAGCCTTCGGTGGATCACAGAAGGAATGGTAGTCAATGCGGAAATGCTGCGGGGCATTGCGGAGGTTGCTGGAGGGAGGTGAGGTGAGGGAGGAGGGGGGGAAGACTTGAGCGCGTGATCAGGGAAAAAGCGGAGGCGACCTCGAAGTTGTGGGAGCAAATTTGGCGGGAAACTCTGGGAGTGTCGCGCAAGTCCCATTCGACCTACCACTAGACTTGTCAGTTGCCGTTGGGGCAATCGAGGATGAAACCGAACTGCATACACGCAGCGATACACCTTCAGGCAGTGCACAATATGTACACTAGGTTATGCAAAATTTAGCAACACAGCTACATCAATAACCTATGTAACAAAAGAGCTAAGCCTTGCTTCCGCATCAGCAATTTCTTCCCTGTGCTTATCCAGTTCCTGCGCACAGAGGTTTGCCAACTGGTCAGCGACCGGCGGGATGCCCGGGTTACGCTCCTCATTATAAACATGAGCGTTGCGTTGAATCAGCTTCATGTCGCTCCAAAAGGCATCCCGCGACATATACACCCCTTGCCGGTTTTTCTTGGACATGGTCGAAAGATCCATGGGATGCTTGATGACTGTATGGTAGTCCGGAGCCTCCTTCTTGGTGACCGGCTTTTGGAAAATGTAAGAAATATCCGCATGGAGCCGCAGAAAGGCAAGCACATTATCAAAGATGCTCCGCAGAGAATCTTTGGCCTGCACACAATCGAAGATGGAAGCACAAGGGAGTGAGCAAAAAGACCACTAGCAAAGAAAGAGCACAGCAGCGACAAACAAAATCGCCATACCACACTCACTTGGCGTCATACCCTGCTCACTAAACTGCCACAACAGTAAATTGCACAAGAAACCACAGCAATGAAGCTAGTTCCAGTCTGGACTCAACCACTCACCAGAACAGCCCCTTCTGGCAGCTTCACACGCTTCAGAGCCGGCCCTGCTCCTCTCCCCCCCTCGCTGCGCCCACCACCACCCTCCCAAGCACCAGGAGTAGCACTGCGCTTCGTTCCCTCTCCCCCGGCTCCCTTTGAGCGAGGTCCCTTGAGAGCTTGGGAGCTTCTCCGCTTCCCTCCATGCGCCCCACTGTGTCCCCTCTCTTCCTCCCGCCAGTCCCTGTCCCTCTCCTCCCTCTCCTCCCTCTCCTCTCTGCCCTTCCCTCTTGGCTCATCAACTCCCACAGAACGTGATCTTTCCCTCTCCTCCCTCCTCTCCCTTTCCTCTCTCCTCTCCCTCTCCTTCCTCTCTTTCTCTCGTCTCCGCTCCCTCTCCTCTTTGCCCTCCCTCTCTTCTCTCCCCTCCTTCGCCTCTTTCCGCTCCTTATCCTCCCTTCTCCTCCACTCGTCTCTCTCCCCGTGTGCATCTTCTTTTCTCCTCTTCTCCTCGCCCTTTTCCTTCTCGCGTCTCCACTCACGATCATGCTTCCTCTCCAGCTCCTTATCCTCCCAACCATCCCTATCCACCTCATTCCCCCCTCTTCGTCCCCCAGTATCCCTCTCCCTTTCCCTCACTTGTTCCCCTCCCCTATCCCTCTCACTATCCTTCCTCTCAAGCTTAAGCTTCACAATCCTTCCTCCTCTCTCCTTCCCAGTCTCCCTATCCCTCTCCCTTTCCCTCACTCCTTCCCAATCCCTCTCCTTGTGCCTTACTCTCTCCCTATCCTTGTCTTCATACTGCCTGCTCTCTTTTACCTTATCCTTCCTCCTCTCCCTCTCCTCCCCTTTTCTCTCCTGCAACTTACCCTCTCCTTCCTCACTCCTCCCCCTTCCCCAACCCTCTTTCCCAACCCACCCTTCACCATGCCTGTCCTTTCCAGCAGCTTTACCGAGCCTGTCTACCGAGCCTGGTGATGCTGAGCCTCCTCGCTCTCTCTCCGAGGCAGCAAGCCTCTTGGCAGCGGGGTGAGGTTCGGCATAAATGCCAATGGCTTCGGTACCCATCCTCAGACCTCCACTCACCTGCTCCTTCTCTCTTTTCCCGTCCCTCTTCTTCTCCTTCTCCCACTCATGCTCCTCTCCCCAGTCCCTGCTCTTCTCACTCTTCCTCTCGCTTCCCTGCCTTCTCTCCCAATCTTCATTCCTCACTCTCTCTTTCTCGTCTTCCATCTCCCCCTCCTCTTCAAAAGGATCTAAACCACCCCTTGCTGCCTTCTTCAATCGCTGCCGCATCTCATCCCCTCTCCTGCCCTCCTCCTCTTCCTCAGTCTCCTCCTGCTGCTGCTCCTGTCGCCTCCTCTCCTCCTGGTCATTCGCAGTCCTCTCCCCACCACCACTTCTCTCTCCTCTTCTCTGCTTCTTCGGCTTATGAAACCCGTCCTCCACGCTCTCTTCTTGCCACTCCCTTTCCCCATCCCCCTCGTTCCTCCTACTTTTCTGCAACTCCCCCCTTACAATCCCAGCACTTTTCTCCTTCTTGCCCTGTGTTCTGCTCTTCCCCCCACCCTCCTCATCCCCGCCTGCTCCTACTGTCCCTCCCTCCTCGTGCCCACCATCCCCTTCCTGCCTCTCCAACCCTCTGTTCGCCCCACTCCTCTCTCTCCTCTTCCGCTTCCTCTTCTTCTCCTCCTTCCTCTTCCATCCCTCCAAATGCCTCCTCCTCCTCCTCCTCCTCCTCTCCCTCACCACCCCCACCAACCTCCCCTTCCTCATCTCCTCCCTTATCGCCCTCACCATGCATCCCCCCCAAATCCTCCTCCCCATGCCCTCTCCCCTTTCCCCCATGCGAATCCTCTCCATCCCCCACATTCCCTTGCGCCTCTGAACCACTTTTGCCTCCCAGTTTGATCTTCATACAAGGGAATTTCACCTTCAGAGAAACTTTCTTTCCCATTCCCCTCTTCCTCCCCTTCTCACTCTCTCCCTTCTCACTCCCTCCCTTCTCACTCCCCTCCCTCTCACGCACGCCTCCTCCCGTGATCCTCTCTACAGTGTCGTCTGCAAGCTGAAGCTGCATGGAATCTTCGTGAGCAGTGGGGGACTCTCCTCCTGGGGACTCGTGTCTTGCCTTGGAGCGAGGGCGGTGGGGGGATGTCACCCCATCAGCACTTCCATCCCCACTCCCATCCCCACTCCCATCACCATGACCAGTACCATGACCATCACCATAATCAGCACCCACAGCATGACCATAACCATCAGCACCCAATTCACCACCCTGACCACCATCACCACCGTACGCAACCACGTCAACAGCATCATCTGCATTGCCAGCACCGTCAACACCAGCATCAACACTGGCATAGGCAGCACCAGCAGCATCATCATCAGCACCGTCCGCAATAGTGTTGACATCAGCAGAAGCCCCATCATCCAAAGCAGACTGAGAGATTTTCTTCCCCTTCTTCTTCTCCTCCTTCTCCTTCTTCCCCTTCTTCCCCTTCTTCTCCTTCCGCTCCTTTTTCTCCTTGCCTTTCTTACCAACACCAGCACCATCACCACCATCAGTACCAGCAGCAGCACCAGCACCATAACTAGCCTGGCTAGGTTGTGTGGCTGTCAGATCAACATCTAATCCATCCTCCCCATCCCCCCCAGCAGCAGCAGCAGCAGCACCACCACCAGCACCATCACCATCACCATCACCATCACCTGCACCCTCACCATCAGCACCAGCAGCAGCAGAACCACCCTTCCCACCATCGCCTCCCACCGCACTCCACCCACCAGCACCTCTCGCCCCTCCACCACCGGACCCCTCAACTCCCCCCTTCCCCGCAGCCTTCCCCAGTAGCATTTTCGCCTTAATCTTAATCTTGTTTTGAGACGTTTCAAAACTCGCCTCTCCACCACCCGACCCCTCAACCCACCCCTTTCCCCCAGCCTTCCCCGGCAGCAGCTTCTGCTTGATCTTAATCTTCGTCCCCTTCCTCTCCAGCAATCCCTCTGCCAGCGCCCCATCCCTGTGAATCTGATTCCCCTCCTCGTCCTCCATATAGAGCGGACACTTAGCGCGGTTAGTGCGCATGTGCCCCTCCTGCCCGCATGCCCCGCATACCACAGACGCCCTCTGTCCCTTCTTTGGCCCACTGCCGTCCTTCTTCCCAGAAGCTTCTTTCTTGGTGGGAGTGGGGGTTCCCTTGGTGGGGGTTCCCTTGGTGGGGTTTTCTGCCTTGGCCCCTACCTGCCCTCCCCTCTTCCGCTTCTTTCCCGTCCCCTCGCCCCCGCCCCCCTGCACGGTAACAACAGAGAGAGAATTGGGACGCTTTAGACTCCAAGACTCCAGCAGGCAGCACCATACAAGAGCAACGAATGCACAGTGCACCAAGCATCACAGTCAGACAGGAGAGTGAAGTGGGGGCAAGCAGGAGGGGGGAGCGGCGGGGGGAGAAGAAACATGGGGAATGAAGGAACGCAGAGCGAGCAACAGCAGTTTACCTTCTCTGAGGCTGCTTGTTTTGAAGGTGTGGCAGGTGGCTGCGAGGGAGCACCAGACACAGCAGCCATGCTTGCTTCAACTGCACCTCCCTGCTGCTCCTGCTGCCCCTCCTGATGCTCTTCCTGCTGCTCAGCCTGTTGCTCTCCCTGCTGCCCGCCCTGCCCACCTGCTGCCCCTCTCTGTGCTGCTAAGGCGGACCGCTTTGCCAGCTCAGCATCGATCTGGGAGAGTGGGGCAGATAAAAAGAGCGAGGGAGGAGACAATTTTTTCGTTGACTGAGAGATCGTCTCTACCTGCTGCTCTGCCTACTGCCCTCCTCCTACCTGCCTGCTTCTGCCTCTGTGATAGTGATCTCTTATATCCGCACTGTGCCGTCAAACTACCTGTGGTGATCAGATGGCGATACATACGCCGCACACTGCATGGCGTCCCTGTTGCTGGTACACACGTTCAGAACAGACAAAACCCACATATCAGCTGTGGATCCGTGATGCTGTTCTCCTTGACCAGCTGTGGATCCGCGATGCTGTTCTCCTTGACCAGCTGTGGATCCGCGATGCTGTTCTCCTTGACCAGCTGTGGATCCGCGATGCTGTTCTCCTTGACCAGCTGTGGATCCGCGATGCTGTTCTCCTTGACCAGCTGTGGATCCGCGATGCTGTTCTCTTTGACCAGCTGTGGATCCGCGATGCTGTTCTCTTTGACCAGCTGTGGATCCGCGATGCTGTTCTCCTTGACCAGCTGTGGATCCGCGATGCTGTTCTCCTTGACCAGCTGTGGATCCGCGATGCTGTTCTCCTTGACCAGCTGTGGATCCGCGATGCTGTTCTCCTTGACCAGCTGTGGATCCGCGATGCTGTTCTCCTTGACCACCACTGTGCCGTCCAGCAAACATCGGTGTGGTGAAGCTGATGATACACACACACGTGAGCACACTACAGGCTCCATCCACCCACATACCAGCTGTGGATCCGTGATGATGTCCTCTTTGACCACCACTGTGCTGTCCAGCCAACCAGCCATGGTGAACTGGTGGTGGTGGTGCACTGTGCACACACATGCATGCCCTGCCCACTACATACACGATCCACATACCAGCGATTCTGGGTCCGTGATGATGACCTCTTTAAACACAAACGTGCCGTCCGGCAGCCGAGTTTTGATCTTCTTCTTAAGCCGCCGCACCACCCGCTTCTTCCCCTCCGCACCCACGCCTGCCCCTCCTGCTGCCCCCCCTGCTGCGCCTCCTGCTGCCCCCCCTGCTGCGCCTCCTGCTGCTGCTGCTGGAGTGAATTTTCCAGCCTCTTGGTCCTGAATTCAAAGGAGGAGAAGGACGAGGGGCAGGAGAGGGGAGGGGAGGATAGAGGAGCAGCGGCGACAAGAGGGGAGGACAGGAGAGGAGAGGGGAGGAGAGAGAGGAGGAAGGGGAGTGGGAGTGAATATGAGGACAATAAACCGTTTCATATGCAAGGATGCAAGGAGGCAGGGAGGCAGGGAGGCAGGGAGGCAGGGAGGCAGGGAGGCAGGGAGGCAGGGAGGCAGGGAGGCAGGGAGGCAGGGAGGCAAGTACAGCACAAGAAAAACCACGAAAGAGCCAAGGACGCACCGCCATTCCTCCTGCCTCGCCATGCTTGGCAGCTGCAGTGCCGCTCTTGTCCTCCCCATCCTCCTTCTTCTCTTTCTCCTTCTCCTTCTCCTTGCTCTTCTCCTTCTCCTTCTTCTTATCCTTCTTCTTCTTGGTGTTCTCCTTGGGATCATCATCTGCACGCCACCATGCATCCATGCACATGCACATGCACATGCACATGCACACGCACATGCACATGCACACGCACACGCACATGCACGCGCCCGCACCGCCCCGCCCCCGCCCGCGCCCGCCCGCTTGGCCCCATCCCCGTTCCCACCCCCGCGCATCCCTCCCCACCCCCCCACACGCACCCCCCCACCCACACACACAGCCACACACACACACAATGCATGCACATGCACACATATGTACACACAGACGACGCACACACATGTCATCCATGCACACAGGCAGAGACAGATTCAATCCGAAAGAGCAAAAAGCGCAGAGAAAAGCCAGGCATCCAAGATCCTCTCCTCAGCGATGAAACCACTGGCCATCCGTTCTAGAGAAAGATTCTTGAGAATTTGAAATCTTGAGCAATTCCCTACACTCAGTAACCCACTGTTGATCCAGAGCAAGGCCAGGGCACTCAAGATCCTCTTCATTTCTCCTGAAGCAACCATCCAGTGGACCAAGGCGCGCGCCCGGACCAAGTCGCGCGCACGGACCAAGGCGCGCGCGCCCGGACCGAGGCGCGCGCGCCCGGACCGAGGCGCGCGCGCCCGGACCGAGGCGCGCGCGCGGACCGAGGCGCGCGCGCGGACCGAGGCGCGCGCCCGGACCAAGGCGCGCGCCCGGACCAAGGCGCGCGCCCGGACCAAGGCGCGCGCCCGGACCAAGGCGCGCGCCCGGACCAAGGCGCGCGCCCGGACCGAGTCGCGCGCGCCCGGACCGAGTCGCGCGCGCCCGGACCGAGGCGCGCGCGCCCGGACCCCGGCGCGCGCGCCCGGACCAAGGCGCGCGCCCGGACCAAGGCGCGCGCCCGGACCAAGGCGCGCGCCCGGACCAAGGCGCGCGCCCGGACCAAGGCGCGCGCCCGGACCAAGGCGCGCGCCCGGACCAAGGCGCGCGCCCGGACCAAGGCGCGCGCCCGGACCAAGGCGCGCGCCCGGACCAAGGCGCGCGCCCGGACCAAGGCGCGCGCCCGGACCAAGGCGCGCGCCCGGACCAAGGCGCGCGCCCGGACCAAGGCGCGCGCCCGGACCAAGGCGCGCGCCCGGACCAAGGCGCGCGCTCGGACCAAGGCGCGCGCCTGGACGCGCCTGGACCAAGGCGCGCGCCCGGACGCGCCTGGACCAAGGCGCGCGCCTGGACCAAGTCGCGCGCCTGGACCAAGGCGCGTGCCTGGACCAAGTCGCGTGCATGGACCAAGTCGCACGCATGGACCAAACTTAGCGCCCCAACTTAACGCCCCCTTTTAGCGCCCCCACTTAGCGGCCCCAACCTTCCAGCAGCATGCGCCTCGTCACCGCATACAACCATTCAGAACCCACCTTCAAGCAGCATGCGCCTGAGGGCAGCAGCCTCCGCCTCCTCATCCAGCAGCTCCTCCTCCCACTGCACCTCCCACGCCCACTGTTGAATCTCACCACATACCAGCCCATCCACATACACCACCCATCACCCACAGCCACCACCCATCACCGCACACAACCGTTCCCAACCTACCTTCCAGCAGCATGCGCCTGAGGGCAGCAGCCTCCGCCTCCTCGTCCTCCAGCTCCTCCTCCCGCTGCACCTCCCAAGCCCTCCTCCTCCTCATCCCCCCCACGCCCCCTCCTCTTGCCCCACCCCCTTCTCTCTCCTCCTCCCCGCCCTCCTCCGCCTCCAGCAAATTCTCCAAGTCCCCAGCAAACGAGTCTAAGTCCCCCAACAGCTCCTCCTCTTCCTCCTCCTCCCCTTCCGCCAGAGCCGACAAGCTCCTGACCTGTTTCTCCCACACCTCCTGGCACTTGCTCCGTGTCTGCATCTGCAGCTGGGAGAACGACATGCGTTGCCCCCTTGCAAACTTATTCAACGCAGCGACAGAGTCACCACTCTTCCCTGCAGCAGCGGCCGCTTGCTCTGAAGACAGCTTCCGAACCAGAGCTATCCTGTGCCATCGCCCCATCTTCTGAATCTGCTCGTCTGCCACCCCTAGCTTCAGCAGCACCTCCCGAGCCGCCTCCATCCCGAGCCTGCGCAGGTCCGCGTCCGTGCCTGTCACCGCCGCCCCTCCCCGAGCCTGCGCCGCCCGCTTTTCCACCACCTTGATTTTCTCTGCTCCTGGCTGCTTGTGCTGAATCTTGAGAAAGGAAAACGCCAGGCCACGGCCTGAAGGGTCCCCAGCTCCGCTAATCTCCAGCTTCTCTAACCCCCCCTTCCCGTGGGTCATACTAGATACATAGTTGTGGGATAGGTTCCATGGAGTGAGCAGTAACTCCCTCTCTATAAGCAGGCTCGCTGCCATCTTTATCGGGTTGTCCGGGAGGAGCTGGGAGATGGCGGTGCTTAGAGGTGGCGACGCGTTGGTGAGGTGGCGGATTCCGATTCGCCGAAGGTGGTGCAGGCCTGCCAGCATGCTTTCGTGGCAGCACACCGAGTCGGGAGTTACCATTCTTCGTAGCTCCTCCTCGGAAGGAACCCGGAAGTTTCGCCGCATCACCCACCACATTTCCCCGCCCTCCAGCCGCTGCAGCTCCGCACACGTTTTAAGCCGCTTCTTTATAAGCCCCTCGGTGAGCGTGGGGAACTGCGCTGCAATATCATCCGCCCTTACTTTAGGCGCGTTCACCACCGCCCGCCGCCCCCCCTTCTTCCCACCCTTCCCCTGCGCCGCTCCCTTCCCACTGCCGCTCCCGCCGCCATCCTTATCCTTGTCATAATCCCGAAACGTCCGACAGACTTCAACCATAAGGCGGTTGCTACTATGGAGTACAGCAGCTTTAGAAATGGGATTCATAACTTCCATATGTGGCTCCTGCTGCCCCACCACTTGCATGCCGTCTATCCTCCTTATAGACAGCTTCCCTTTCGGCGACCGTACGAGCAGGTAGTCCGTGTGAGGCACATGCTGCCGAAACACCGGGGCTCGGAACAGGTTCGTCTCGAGGCTGGACTGGCTCGTGCCGGGCCTGACGTCGCCCAGGAACGGGGATTCCTCGTCAGGTTCGAGCGGCATCACCGAACCGGAGAAAGGGACGTCTCGGATCGCAGCTGCGCCGGAATCGACGGACGAGATCTTTCTGTAGTAGGTGGCGAGGCGCGCGCCCATGCCCACGTTGCTTAGAAGGAGAGGGCGCTCCTCGCAGTACCTTTGGAAGGGGGAGGAAGGGTGAAGGGGGAGGAGGAGGGAAAAAATCGGAAGGGGGGGGAGGGGGAGGGGCGGGGGAAGGGGGAGGGGAAGCGAAGGGGTTGGGGAGGATATCGGAGGTGGGGGTGAGGAAGGTAAGGTAGGGGTAGGGGCGACAAAAAATGGAGGAGGGAAAAGGATGAGAAGGGCATTTGAATAAGTGCTTGAACAATGGAACGGAGGGAGGGAAGGAGAAAGGGGGAGGGGGAAAAGGGGAGGGGGACAGGGGGAGGGGGAAAGGGGGAGGGGGAAAGGGGGAGGCATGGAATGGAGAAGAGCGGTTAACAATGAGAAGGGATAGGATGGGGCGAAATATGAATCCCCCCCAGGCCCCTTGACCCTCTCAAACTCCTCCCGTCCAACCCCCAAAAAACCTCCCCCGAATTCCATCCAACCACACACCCCCACCCCCACTCTCAAGCAGTCTTCACTCCCAAGAATTTTCCCCAACTCTCTCCCTCCCCCTCTCCCCCCCCCTCCCCCTCCACTCACTCCATGAGCACCACATGGCCATCCTTCACCGACAGATCCGCCTTCTTCCGAAACGTGGCACAAACTCGGCTCGGGATCACTCACCACTCACCCCTCCCAACACCCCCCAATCCCCCCCAATCCCCCCCCCACCCCCCCCACCCCCCACTCACTCCATGAGCACCACGTGGCCATCCTTCACCGAAAGATCAGCCTTTTTCCGGAAGGCCCCGGGGGGGCGCTTGGGCTTGCTGTCGCCGGGGAGCTTCAGGTGTGCCCGCCCCCAGGGGTGCAGGCGCGGGCGCACCACGTGGATGATAGCATTCCCCCGCACGCCTTGCTCGCCCAGCGGCTTGTCAGGCGTGACCTCCTGGCCGTTGGAGTAAAATCGCACAGCTTCACTTTCCTTCATGTCTGCACAGCACATGAGGGGAAAAGGGGGAAACAGGAGGAGGAGGGGCAAGACAGAAAGCAGCTGTGGGGGCAGGGAAGGGGCTGGCTCTGTGTGTGCTTGTCGTGCCCTGTGCACGCTCGCCCCCATGCGTGCCCTGCCCTGTGCACGCTCGCCCCGATGCGTGCCCTGCCCTGTGCACGCTCGCCCCCATGCGTGCAGGCATGGGCGCACTACGTGGATGATGGCGTTGCCCCTCACTCCCTGCTCGCCTAGGGGCTTGTCTGCTGTCACTTCATGCCCGTTGGAATAGAATCGCACCGCCTCACTCTCCTTCATGTCTGCACATAGGAGAGAAGGGGAAAATTGTAGAGGGAAATGGAAGCAGGGTCCAGAGTAGGGGGAAGGCGCAGTCTGTGTTTTGAGTCGACTCTTGAGTCGGCTCAAAACTCAGAAGTCAAACTCAAGAGTCGACTCAGAAATGGAAGCAGGGTTCAGAGTAGCAAAGGCGCAGTCTCTGTGTGCTTCAGGTGCGCTTGCCCCCATGGGTGCAGGCGCGGGCACACCATGTGAATGATGGCGATACAGGTTGTTTTTGAGAATTTTCAAAAACAACCCACACCATGTGAATGATGGTGTTGCCCCTCACTCTTCTGTGCTCTTGTCCACATACGCACCCCCCAGTTTCTTGGCTGTCTTGGCCCGGAGTGCACCCAGAATCTCCCCAGCGCCCACGTGCAGCTTCACAGCCTTGCTGCCCAGCGTCCGTACAATCACGCGTAGGCTCCCCCTAACACATACCTCCCTCCCAAACTCATGCGACGTGTATTAAGATTCGTTTTGAGATGTCTCAAAACAAATCTAAATATCACGCGTAGGCTCCCCCTAACACATACCTCCCTCCCAAACTCATGCGACGTGTATTAAGATTCGTTTTGAGATGTCTCAAAACAAATCTAAATATCACGCGTAGGCTCCCCCTAACACATACCTCCCTCCCAAACTCATGCGACGTGTATTAAGATTCGTTTTGAGATGTCTCAAAACAAATCTAAATATCACGCGCAGGCTGCCCCTAACACATACCTCCCTCCCAAACTCATGCGCACCAAAGGACGTACCTCCCAGCTTCTTGGCAGTCTTAGCTCGCAAAGCACCCAGAATCTCCCCAGCCCCCACGTGCAGCTTCACGGCCTTGCTGCCCAGCCCAGCGTCATCACGATCAACGATCACCCACAAACTGCCCTAAAACATACACACCTCCCAGTTTTGAGGCGCCTCAAAAACTGCCCTAAAACATACACACCTCCCAGTTTCTTGGCGGTCTTAGCTCGCAAAGCACCCAGCATCTCCCCCGCGCCCACGTGCAGCTTCACAGCCTTGCTGCCCAGCGTCCGCACGATCACCCTCAGGCTGCCCTCCTGCCCCTCCACGCGCCCCTGCGCCCTTGCCGCCGCCTCGCTCTGATGCGCAAACCACAGCGCCTGGGGGCGGTGGAAGCGCGACAGGTCCTTGCTGGAGTGTTGGGAGTGGGGTGGGGTGGGGTGGGGTGGGGAGATGGGTGTTGGGAGGGGAGGGGGAGGTGGAGGAGATTGAGACGTCCCAAGAACCACCTTGCTCTGGTGCGCAAACCACCGTGCCTGCGGGCGGTGGAAGCGCGATAGGTCGTTGCTGGAGGAGGGAGGTGAGGGGAGTATAGGAACGGAGGGGTTTGGAAGAGTATTAATGCGTCTCAAAGGCTGCCCCTCGCACTGGTGCGCAAACAAAATCGCCTGCGGGCAGTGGAAGCGCGACAGGTCCTTGCTGGAGTGTTGGGGGGAGGGGAGTGTGAGGGGGCTGGGTGGGAGGGTTGTTGGGAGGGTTGGTGGGAGGGTTGTTGGGAGGGTTGGTGGGAGGGTTGTTGGGAGGGTTGGTGGGAGGGTTGGTGGGAGGGTTGGTGGGAGGGTTGGTGGGAGGGTTGGTGGGAGGGTTGGTGGGAGGGTTGGTGGGAGGGTTGGTGGGAGGGTGGTGGGAGGGTTGGTGGGAGGGTTGGTGGGAGGGTTGGTGGGAGGGTTGGTGGGAGGGTTGGTGGGAGGGTTGGTGGGAGGGTTGGTGGGAGGGTTGGTGGGAGGGTTGGTGGGAGGGTTGGTGGGAGGGTTGGTGGGAGGGTTGGTGGGAGGGTTGGTGGGAGGGTTGGTGGGAGGGTTGGTGGGAGGGTTGGTGGGAGGGTTGGTGGGAGGGTTGGTGGGAGGGTTGGTGGGAGGGTTGGTGGGAGGGTTGGTGGGAGGGTTGGTGGGAGGGTTGGTGGGAGGGTTGGTGGGAGGGTTGGTGGGAGGGTTGGTGGGAGGGTTGGTGGGAGGGTTGGTGGGAGGGTTGGTGGGAGGGTTGGTGGGAGGGTTGGTGGGAGGGTTGGTGGGAGGGTTGGTGGGAGGGTTGGTGGGAGGGTTGGTGGGAGGGTTGGTGGGAGGGTTGGTGGGAGGGTTGGTGGGAGGGTGGGAGGGTTGGTGGGAGGGTTGGTGGGAGGGTTGGTGGGAGGGTTGGTGGGAGGGTTGGTGGGAGGGTTGGTGGGAGGGTTGGTGGGAGGGTTGGTGGGAGGGTTGGTGGGAGGGTTGGTGGGAGGGTTGGTGGGAGGGTTGGTGGGAGGGTTGGTGGGAGGGTTGGTGGGAGGGTTGGTGGGAGGGTTGGTGGGAGGGTTGGTGGGAGGGTTGGTGGGAGGGTTGGTGGGAGGGTTGGTGGGAGGGTTGGTGGGAGGGTTGGTGGGAGGGTTGGTGGGAGGGTTGGTGGGAGGGTTGGTGGGAGGGTTGGTGGGAGGGTTGGTGGGAGGGTGGTGGGAGGGTTGGTGGGAGGGTTGGTGGGAGGGTTGGTGGGAGGGTTGGTGGGAGGGTTGGTGGGAGGGTTGGTGGGAGGGTTGGTGGGAGGGTTGGTGGGAGGGTTGGTGGGAGGGTTGGTGGGAGGGTTGGTGGGAGGGTTGGTGGGAGGGTTGGTGGGAGGGTTGGTGGGAGGGTTGGTGGGAGGGTTGGTGGGAGGGTTGGTGGGAGGGTTGGTGGGAGGGTTGTGGGAGGGTTGGTGGGAGGGTTGGTGGGAGGGTTGGTGGGAGGGTTGGTGGGAGGGTTGGTGGGAGGGTTGGTGGGAGGGTTGGTGGGAGGGTTGTGGGAGGGTTGGTGGGAGGGTTGTTGGGAGGGTTGGTGGGAGGGTTGTGGGAGGGTTGGTGGGAGGGTTGGTGGGAGGGTTGGTGGGAGGGTTGGTGGGAGGGTTGGTGGGAGGGTTGGTGGGAGGGTTGGTGGGAGGGTTGGTGGGAGGGTTGGTGGGAGGGTTGGTGGGAGGGTTGGTGGGAGGGTTGGTGGGAGGGTTGGTGGGAGGGTTGGTGGGAGGGTTGGTGGGAGGGTTGGTGGGAGGGTTGGTGGGAGGGTTGGTGGGAGGGTTGGTGGGAGGGTTGGTGGGAGGGTTGGTGGGCGGGTTGGTGGGAGGGTTGGTGGGAGGGTTGGTGGGAGGGTTGGTGGGAGGGTTGGTGGGAGGGTTGGTGGGAGGGTTGGTGGGAGGGTTGGTGGGAGGGTTGGTGGGAGGGTTGGTGGGCGGGTTGGTGGGAGGGTTGGTGGGAGGGTTGGTGGGAGGGTTGGTGGGAGGGTTGGTGGGAGGGTTGGTGGGAGGGTTGGTGGGAGGGTTGGTGGGAGGGTTGGTGGGAGGGTTGGTGGGAGGGTTGGTGGGAGGGTTGGTGGGAGGGTTGGTGGGAGGGTTGGTGGGAGGGTTGGTGGGAGGGTTGGTGGGAGGGTTGGTGGGAGGGTTGGTGGGAGGGTTGGTGGGAGGGTTGGTGGGAGGGTTGGTGGGAGGGTTGGTGGGAGGGTTGGTGGGAGGGTTGGTGGGAGGGTTGGTGGGAGGGTTGGTGGGAGGGTTGGTGGGAGGGTTGGTGGGAGGGTTGGTGGGAGGGTTGGTGGGAGGGTTGGTGGGAGGGTTGGTGGGAGGGTTGGTGGGAGGGTTGGTGGGAGGGTTGGTGGGAGGGTTGGTGGGAGGGTTGGTGGGAGGGTTGGTGGGAGGGTTGGTGGGAGGGTTGGTGGGAGGGTTGGTGGGAGGGTTGTGGGAGGGGGTGGGAGGGTTGGTGGGAGGGTTGGTGGGAGGGTTGGTGGGAGGGTGGGTGGGAGGGTTGGTGGGAGGGTTGGTGGGAGGGTTGGTGGGAGGGTTGGTGGGAGGGTTGGTGGGAGGGTTGGTGGGAGGGTTGGTGGGAGGGTTGGTGGGAGGGTTGGTGGGAGGGTTGGTGGGAGGGTTGGTGGGAGGGTTGGTGGGAGGGTTGGTGGGAGGGTTGGTGGGAGGGTTGGTGGGGGGTTGGTGGGAGGGTTGGTGGGAGGGTTGGTGGGAGGGTTGGTGGGAGGGTTGGTGGGAGGGTTGGTGGGAGGGTTGGTGGGAGGGTTGGTGGGAGGGTTGGTGGGAGGGTTGGTGGGAGGGTGGGTGGGAGGGTTGGTGGGAGGGTTGGTGGGAGGGTTGGTGGGAGGGTTGGTGGGAGGGTTGGTGGGAGGGTTGGTGGGAGGGTTGGTGGGAGGGTTGGTGGGAGGGTTGGTGGGAGGGTTGGTGGGAGGGTTGGTGGGAGGGTTGGTGGGAGGGTTGGTGGGAGGGTTGGTGGGAGGGTTGGTGGGAGGGTTGGTGGGAGGGTTGGTGGGAGGGTTGGTGGGAGGGTTGGTGGGAGGGTTGGTGGGAGGGTTGGTGGGAGGGTTGGTGGGAGGGTTGGTGGGAGGGTTGGTGGGAGGGTTGTTGGGAGGGTTGTTGGGAGGGTTGTTGGGAGGGAGGGGGAGGTGGAGGAGATTAAGACGTTCCAAAAACCACCTTGCTCTGGTGCGCAAACCACAGCGCCCGCGGGCAGTGGAAGGGGAGGGATGGGGGTGGATGGGGGAACAGAAAGGGGAGGGTAGTGTACAAGTTCCTTATACCCCCGCGTCCTTCACTCACTTGCTGAGCTGTGGCTTGACATGATTGAAACAATCACTCACTTGCTGAGCCGTGGCTTCATGGTCTGCAGCCGGATAGCCGGCAGCGAGTGATACACCTTCACACTCGTGCTCGCGCGCTTCTTCCCATGCGCCTTCCCTCCACCCCCCACCCCGCCCACCGCCCCCACGCCCCCCTTGCTGCTCTGGTACAGGTGGTCCCGCGAGAAATCCACTGCCCACGCTGCTGCCTCTGCCAGAAACTCTGGGGGCAACCACCCCGCTGCTGCATCGCCTGGGAGCGGGAGGTGCCCTGATGGGAGCGTGGAGGAGAGGGAGGGTGGTGGAGGGGCGATGGAGCTGCTGGGTTCAGACGCACTTGCTCCTGCTCCTGCTGCTGCTGCTGCTGCTGCTGCTGCTGCTGCGGTGGCGGCGGTGCTGGTGGCAGCGGCGGCTGCTGGCCTTGGTGACAGTGCGGATGCTGTTTCGCCGTTAGTTACCGGTGCTGATGTGGGGAGCGTCAGCATCTGCTGCTGCTGATGTGGCACGACGTGCGGCTGAGCTGGCACAATCATAGCCAGCGCATGGTCGATCAAAGAAATCGTCGCCCCAGCACCACGTGGCACTTCCTCCCCACCTGCCTCCACCCTCCCTCCAATCTCCTCCCTGCCACTCTCCCCACCGGCACCTGCAACCACGCCACCTGGCCCCACACCTGGCCCCACACCTGCTCCAGAAACCCCTACACCAGATGCACCTGCCTCAGACACACCCGCCAGAGAAGCCCTCCCCAGCACAGAGCCGCCCACGCCAGTGCCTTCTCTCCCAGAGACCTCTCCCACCGGCCCCACCAGCTGGAAGGTCATGCGCCGATCGCTGAGGTCAAAGATAATGCGTGGAGGAGCAGGGCGAGCGGGGCAAGGCAAGGAAACGCCTATGGCGGCTGGCGATGCCAGTTTTGGCCTGTGCCTCTTTTTGCGCCTTGCCGCCCGTAGAAACACCTGGGAGAACGTCAGCAGAACAGGAGCGTCTGGAGTGGAATTCCCTTCTCTCCCCTCTCTTTCCTCCCTCACGCCACCCTTCCTCTTCCCCTCCTCCTCCTCCTCCCCCGTCTCCTTCCTCTCCTCGCCCTCGTCGTCCTCATCCTCATCACCCCACAGCACCGCATCCAACCATGCGCCCGAGTCCAGCTCTGTGTTCCTTGGCACGGCTGCTGTCCGGAGCACCTCTTTCACTCGCCTCCTCACTGCCGCCCTGCCTGGATCCTCTTCTTCTTCCTCCTCATCCTCCTCCTCCTCTCCCTCTGCCTCGTGCTCACGCCCATGCCCATCCTCAAGCCCCTCATCAAGCTTACCAGCAGCACCATCGCCCCTACCATCACCTTCAGCATCACTAGACACACCTCCTGCCCACTCCCCATCAGCACCACCACCCCTCCCCCCGTCTCCCCTCCCAACCCCACCCTCCTTCTCTCCCACCTTCCTCCTTCCCCGAGCCTTGGCCCCAGCTTCGGCCCGGCCCTGGCACTCGAGCCGAAGCAGCAGCGGGTGGATTTCCCGAACCTCTCCGTCCTCCTCCCAGCCTCGAAACGCCCTGGGCTTGGGCCAGGACGCACCTATGGGCTCTAGAACCACCCCATCATCATACACCAGCACATCCCCATACTGCCCCACCAATTCTGCCGGCGGCTGCTGCTTTCGTGCCGACACCAGCACACCACCCTGCTTCCCTTCGCCCTTACTGCTCTTTTCACCCTTTTCTTCACCTGAGGCCCCTGTGCCCCCATCCTCCCATTCTAGCTCCTCTTCCGACTCCTCCCCTGAAAGGTCAAGCCTCTCAATAGTCCCTTCCTCCTTGCCTCCTAGCCCGGCTCCACTACTCCCTTCCCTCTTGCCATCCCCTGTCACTATGTCCATCTCCACATGCTTCCCACTCCCCACCTGCACCTCCACATCCCCGCTTTCTCTCTCACCACCGCCCTTCCTCCTCAACTTCTGCTCCTCCTCCTCCTCATCCTCCTCCTCCTCGACCTCCTCCTCTCCCCTTGCCTCATGCCCCACTACCCCCACTCCACCTCTCTCCCGTCCCTCACCCTCTCCCTCCCAGCTCTCAGAGCGTTCAGGGCTGCCCCACACAATCTGGTCCTCCCAGTCGCTCTGCATAAGGGCAGAGAACACAGCACTGGGCGTGCTGTCAAACACCCCTGCAAACGACTCTGCCAGCTGTATCAGCTCATTCCTCCCCGGATCCTGCTCATGAAAAAATGACCCGGACAGAGACTGCCGAACTGCTCCCTTTGGTCGCCTCTTCATCCGCGTTTTACACATCTTCTTTTTAAGCACTTTCTTTGCCCCGTTGAGCTTTACTCTTTCAGCTCTCTCGCCCAGTTTTGTGCCAACCGCCATGATTTCTTGGCTTGTTTCTCTCCTCTCTCCACCTCCCTCTTCAAGAGCACTCCCCCCCACCATTACCATTTCTCGTCCTGTTTCTCTTCTCTCATTTCTTTCTTCAAGTCCCATCCCCTTCACTTCCCCCTCTCCTCTTTCCACTTCCTCCACGCCCCCTATCTTTGCCACTCCTCTTGTGTCTTGCACTCTACACCCTCCTTCCCCCAGCCCGCCTGCCCCTTCGCCATCCCTCCCCTGTCCTCCTTCTCCGTCTTTCAAACCCTCGCCTGCTCCTCTCTCTTGCCGGCACACAACTTGCCGTTCTGCCGCTTCCTTCCCTCCCTCCTTCCCAGCCCCACTTCCCTCCCTCATCCCCTTCACCTCTCCTCCATCCTCTCCCTCACCTTCCTCTCCCCCATTCCCTCCCTCCTCAACCAACCCTCCTTCTCTTCCCTCCACTCCCACGCCTCCACCCTCCTTCGCCTCACACACACCAGAATCCGCACTTTTATCATTCTCACTCCCCTCTCCACTCCCCTCCCCAATCCCCTCTCCACTTCCCTCTCCTTTGCCCTCTCCACTGCCCTCCCTTGTCGTACAGGCATCAGCAGCACCGTCCTCGGACTTGCTCTTCTCTTCACCCATCCCCACCTGTCTACCAACAACTGCAGCTTCATCCGTCCCATCCTCCTTACCCTCACCCTCCTCTCCATTTCCCTCCTCTCCCTTCGCCTCCTCCCTTTCCTTCTCAGACCCCTCAACACACTCCGTCAACTCCCCCAATTCCTCCACCGAACCGCCCACACCCTCCTGCACCTGCTGCCCTTGACTCACCAGAGCATGCTCTCCTTCCCCGGCTTTGCTAATCCCCTTCTCTCCCTCGCCTCCAGGAAGGATCCCCTTCTCTCCTTCGCCTTCCGTCCCTGCCGCAATGCCTTGCTTCCCTCCACTCTCCCTCTCCATCGCATCACTGCCGTCCCCCCCTTCCAACCTCTTTCTCTCACTTTCATTCACATGCTCCTCCTCTCCCTTTCCTTTGGCCCCTTCCTCGTTTTCTCCTTCCACTTCCATCCTCTCAACTCCCCCCCCTCCACTTTCTCTTCCTCATCTTTCCCTCCCTCCTCTTTCCGCCCTTCCTCAACCTTCCTCTCCTCCACTTTCCCCATTAGTTCCATCCCCTCCTCTCCACCCTCTCTCTCTTCCCCAGGCTGTTCGTCCACCTCCATCAATTCACCACCGTTCCCTTCGTCCTCCTTCTCCCCATTCAACTTCTCCTCTCCCTTCTCCCCCTTCTCCTCCCCCTTCTCCTCTTTCTCCTTCTCCTCTCCCTTCTCCTCGTTCTCCTCCCCCTTCTCCCCTTTCTCCTTCTCCACTCCCTTCTCCTCGTCCTCGTCCCCTTTCTCCTTCTCATCCTTCTCCTCTCCTTTCTCCTCGTTCTCCTCCCCATTTTCCTCCTTCTCATCCTCCTCCTCTCCCTTCTTCTCGTTATCCTCCCCCTTATCAACCTTCTCCTTCTCCCCTCCCCTCTCCTCGTTCTTCTCTCCCTTCTCCAACTTCTCACTCTTCTGCTCTCCCTTCTCCTCCTCCTTCTGGCCCATCTCTCCCATTACTTCACCCATTCTTCCCTCCTCCACTCCCTCCCTCACTCCCTCCCTCACTCCCTCCCCCGCTTCCTCCTCCACTCCCTCGGCTTTATTACCATCCCCTTTACCATCATCTCTTCCACTACCAACCTGTAGCGTCTCATCCTTTCTACCTTGATCCTCCTCCAAATTGCCATCACCTCTACTCGCATTCCTTGCCGCAACCATCTCCTCCTGCTTCTCACCCCTTTCCACTCCAAGCTTCATCCCACCATTCCCCTCCCCATCCTCGCCTCCAACCGTGCTTTTCTCACCCCCCTCCTCTCCTCTCCCCTCGTTCTCTCCTCTCTTCTCATTCTCTCGTGCTCCTTCACTTTGCTCTTGCCCCTCTGCCCTACCCACCTCCTCCTCCTCCCCCAAATCCTCTGCATCAGCATCACCACCAGCATCAGATCCATCGCCCCTTCCTCCCTCCACACCCTCATCCACCTCTTGCATTTTACTCTCGCCCCCGTCACCAACAAACCTGTCCCCCTCTCCTTTCCCTCCTTCCTCTCCGTTCTCTCCTTTCTCGCCTTCCTCCCTTGCCTCACCTGCCCTCTCACTGCTCTCCTCAGTAACCATTCGCCCTGCACCCTCCTCATCTGTCTTCCCTGTAACCTCTTCCTCCCCACGAGACTGACTACCACCCTCCTTCTCTTCCCCATTCTCACATGGCACAGCCTTCCCCAGCCCATCCCCATCCCCAAGCGAATGACCATCCACATGCCCATCACCATGCCCATTCAAACGCCCATCGCCACTCCCCCGACTGTCACTATCATTATCACCCTCGCCTGCCCCCGCCACATTCTCTTCTCCTTTGCTCTCCACTTTGCCGCCCAGATCGCCGTCCCTTTGACCATCATTGCCGCCCTCCGCACAACCCCCCACACTCTCTTCTTCAGCTGACTGTTTCTGAGGCATCTCAGAAATTGCAGACCTTTCCCTCGTCTCGAAAGGCACTTGAACCCCCTTTCTCTCCTCTTCCCCACTCCCCCTCCCCTCCTCACTCTCTCTGTCCTTCCCCTCCCCACTCTCTTTCCCCCTCTCCTCCGTAATCTCTCCCCTTGTTCTCTCTTCAGCTGCTCCCCTCTTCTGGACCTCACATTCCCTAACAACCTCCACTTCCCCTACTGCCACTCGTGATCCCTCATGTGCACCATCCAACCCTTTTACCGCACCATCCAACCCCTCCACAACTTGTGAGTCCTCTTTTTTCCTCTCTACCGCTCCCTCCTCTCCTTCCCTCAGTCCCACCCCCTCAGGCCCCAGTTGACGCGCCCCCAAAACAGCTTCTCCTGCAGCACCGCGCAACCCCTGGCTCTGCTTCGCCGCGAACCCTTCTCCTTCCCTCTGCTCCACTCCTAACACTTCAGATTGGTCCATGCGTGTAGTTACTCCCTCACTACTCCCAACACCACCAGTCTTTTCAGCCCCTGCAGCACCACCACGCAGTCCCTGGCTCTGCTTCGCCGCAAACCCTTCTCCTTCCCTCTGCTCCACTCCTAACACTTCAGATTGGTCCATGCGTGTAGTTTCTCCCTCACTACCCCCAACACCACCAGTCTTTTCAGCCCCTGCAGCACCACGCAGTCCCTGGCTCTGCTTCGCCCCTAGCTCCTCCCCTTCCCGCTCCTCCCCTTCCCGCTCCTCTCCTTCCCGCTCCTCTCCTTCCCGCTCCTCCCCTTCCCGCTCCTCCCCTTCCCGCTCCTCTCCTTCCCGCTCCTCTCCTTCCCGCTCCTCTCCTTCCCGCTCCTCCCCTTCCCGCTCCTCTCCTTCCCGCTCCTCTCCTTCCCGCTCCTCCCCTTCCCGCTCCTCCCCTTCCCGCTCCTCTCCTTCCCTCTGCTCCATCCCTAACCCTTCCGATTGCTCCGTGCATGCGGTCTCTCCCCCATCGCCCCCACCAGTAGTCCTTGCAACCCCTTCAACGTCCTTCTCCTCTGGTTTCTCAGCCTCCATCTTGTCAGTTTCAGCCCCTCTCTCCGTGTCCTTTCCAGCCGTAATAAGGCTTTGAGAAGTCTCAATACTTGACTTCTCAACCTCCATCTTGCCGGTTTCAACCCCTTTCTCCGTGCCCTCTCCAACCCCCATATCTTGCTCTCCAGCCCCCACCGCTTCCCCCACCCCTCTGTCACCCTGCCCAGTCCCCACCTTCCCCACGTCACCCTGCCCCACCTCCCCTCGGTCCACTTCCATTGCCTGCATTTCGATATCCTCACCAACCAACTGCTCTTCTCCACCTCCTGCCCCCCCCATTGCCTTCCCCACTGCCTCCCCCCTTGCCTCCTCTGCTGCCTCCCCCCCTGCCTCCCCTGCTGCTTCCCCCTCTGCTTCCCCTCCCGTTTTCACTGCTGCACTTACTTCTCCTGCCTTCGACCCTCCTGCCCCCTCATCCTTCCTCACATCCACCATACCCGCACTCCTCCCCTCACTCCCTCCCTCACTCTTTCCCTCACTCACTCCCTCATTCCTAGTTTCTCTCTCTGAGTCTCCACCCTCTAGCCCTCTATGCTCGCCCTCGACAGTTCTTGAAGGCATCTCAACAGTGGTCCGAGGCTCCTCTTCCCTATCCCGATTCTCCTCAACCCTTCCCTTCTCCCTATCATCCTCCTCTCCCCCATTCCTCTTTTCCTCAACCCTTGCTGTATCCCCTTCCATTGCCACCTCAGCATCACCTCTCACGCCTTCCTCCTTCAGCCCTTGATCCTTCTCATCAGATCTTCCCTTGTCCATATTCCCATCTTTCTCTCCCTTGTCCACATCTTCATTTTCCCCACTCCCCTTGTCCGCACCCCCATCTTTCTCCCCCTCGTCAATATCATCATGCCTCTGCTCCTGACCGTCCCCTTCATCCTCCTCTCCAGCACTCCCCTTTTCCCCAATCCTTGCCCTCTCCTCTTCCGCTGCCCCCTCACCCTCGCCCTCGCTTCCCTCTTTCATAATTTCCCCTCCCATTTCATCCATTCCCTCCTTGTTCCATTCTCGACCCTCCTCTATCCTAGCTCTTTCAGATACGGCCTGATTCTCCGTTTCCTCCAACCGCTCCTCCTTCTCCTCCTCCCTTGCTGCTGGTTTCCCCTCTTCTTTCATCTGAACACCAATCGACTCTCCTTCCCTGAATTCTCTTCCATCCTTTTGCTCCTCATCCTCCGCATTTCCTCCCTCTTCTTCTTCCTTCTCCTCTTCTTCCTCTTCTTCTACCTCTTCCTCTTCGTCTGTTTCTTCCTCCTCCTCTTCCTCCTCTTCTTCCTCCTCCTCGTCTTCTTCTTCCTCCTCTTCTTCTTCCTCCTCCTCTTCCTCCTCCCTCTCCAGCATCTCTTGATATTGCAGCTCTTTCTCAAGAGCAATAGCTCGCTCTCGCATCATCTCAGCCGTTTGTTTCGGTGACGGTGCAGATCGAAGAAGCACTTCGTCATCCTCTTGCCCTGGATCTGAAAGAAGTACATTCACACACGTTTTCATGCGCACGCATTCACCATTCACACAAAAACACACACAACACACAGAAGGATTTAAATTAATCAAGCATGAGAAAACACTTATGAAGATTAAGGCTCCTTGCAGCAGATCAAATAATAAACTTCATTCTAACTCATAGCTCCCCTTGTCATTACATGAGCCAGGAAGCAACCCCACTCACCACACACAGCCGGCGCACGAGGCAGCACACGGTGGCGCTTCGGGCGGGACCCCCGCTGCACGACAAGGGACCAGAAGGAGCCCTTGATGCCAAAGATGTCTGAGAAGCGCAGCACGTCCTTTCCCCCTTCCTTGAACAGCACAGGCAGCTCACTCCTCCGCTTCCCCCCCTCCTCCCCTCCACCCGCCTCCCCGTCCTCCTCTCCCTCCTCTCCCATCCATCCCTCCAGCCCCTCCTCGTCCCCTAGACCTTCCCCCTCCTCTTGCCCTGCCCAATCCATCTCGTCTGTGTCGCGATCACCAACATCCCTGCCCTCCTTGCCACGCTCCTCCTCCACCCCAGCCTCTTCCCCCCTCTCCACGCCTTCCCCTTCCTCTCCAGCCTCATCCTCCTGTTCTCTCATCTCCTCATCCTCCCTCCCGCCACCAGCCTGTCCTTCTGCTTCTCCTGCACCACCCCCTCCCTCCTCCTCGCCCCTCACTCCCTCCTCTTCCTCTCCCGGCCCTCCTTTATCACTCCCTGTTGCCGGCTCCCCAGCTTCCCACTCTCCTCCCACCATTTCCTCACCGCCTCCAGCTCCTCCCACAGCCGCCTCCCCAACTGCCGCAGCACCACCTTCAGCAGTCTCTTTCTCCTCCTCATCCTCCTCGTCCTCCTCCCCCGCCCCTTCCTCCCCCTCGCCTCCCACTTCCCCCTCATCCAAACCCCCCTCCCCCTCATCCTCCCCCCCCTCCCCTTCATCCATTGCCTCCTCCAACGCTGCTTCTAAGTCCGCCTCCAAATCGTCCTCCTGCTCCTCTGCTCCCTCATTCTCCTCCTCCTCCTCATCTCCCCCCTTCTCATACTCTTCTCCCACACCCTCTCCCTCACCTTCTCCGTCAACTTCCTCCCCTCCCTCCTCCTCTGCTTCCTCTTCCGCCCCTCCCTCTTCCCCTGCCTCCTCGTCCTCCCCTCCCTCCTCTGCTTCCTCGTCTTCCCCTCCCTCCCCTTCTGCCTCATCCTCTTCCGCTCCCTCCTCCACATCCCCTTCCTCATCCTCCTCTTCCTCTTGACCTATGCCTCCTTCGTCCTCCCCATGAACTCCCTCTAATTCCTCCTCACCACCATCTTCCAGTCCTTTGTCTTCCTCCGCTTCCTCCTCTCCCTCCTCTTCGTCCTCTTCCTCCTCTTCACCCCCCTCCTCTTCTTCCTCCTCCTCATCAAGTGAGCCCTGTGTGCCCCCGTCTCCTTCCTCCTCTTCACCCAACCCCTCGTCCAACCCATCCTCTTCCTCCTCCATATTTCCATCATCCTCTCCTTCCCCTCCTTCCTCCTCCTCTTCTTCATCTTCCTCCTCCTCCCCTTCCTCGTCCCCCTCCTTCTCCTCCTCCTCATCCTCCTCATCCTCATCCTCATCATGCTCTGCTGCACCGTCCGCTTCCTCCTCCCCCTCCTCCTCATTCTCGTCCTCTTCTTCGTCCTCTGTCAACCCCAATTCGCCAGGGGCGGTTGGCACTGCAGTTCAAGAGTATAGGAAAGATAAAGGTGAAAGCACAACAATCAACACAACACAAGGACAGACAGAGTGCAATCGACACAACACAAGGACAGACAGAGTGCAATCGACACAACACAAGGACAGACAGAGTGCAATCGACACAACACAAGGACAGACAGAGTGCAATCGACACAACACAAGGACAGACAGAGTGCAATCGACACAATAACCCAATTGACAGCAAAACAGCAAAAACTTCACACCCAGGGAATTGGGCATAACCGCAACCAACCCCGCCGCAACTTCATGACCTATGCAACCATGGGGCATGTTAGAAACCCATCTTTGCGTATACTAACACATCAAAATCGATGTAACCAGCCATTATACCCCCCAATACGAAACAAGACCCACATGCAAAATCGTCAGCTTCATGGCCTTGAGACGCAAATGCAGCTTCGTCCTCCCCTCCACCTCCCTCCTCCATCCCCTCCCTGCCATCCTCCCCAGCTTCCTCTCCACCCTCCTCTTCGCCCTCTCCCCCATCTTCATCAGAAGACAAATCCTCCTCCTCCTCGCTTCCTTCCTCTTCTCCTTGCCCCTGCCCTTCTGCACCCCCTTCTCCGTCCTCCTCCTCCTCACCCCCTTCGTCTCCTCCCTCCTCTCCCACCCGTTCCTCCTCTGCCCTATCTGCCTGCCCAGCCTCCTCCAATTCTTCTAGAAGCCCATCAAGTTCCTCATCCTCATCGTCGTCCTCCTCCTCTTCCTCTCCTTCCCTCACTTCCCGCTGCTGCTGCTGCTGCTGCTGCTGCTGCTCGTCTTGTTCCATCCCACCGAATCCTTCCTCTCTGAATCCAGGATCAATGCCTGCATCCTCTTCCTCCGCCTGCTTCTCTTCATCCCCTTCACCCTCACCCTCACCCTCCTCGTTCTCCTCATCCTCTTCCCCCTCTTCCTCCTCTTGCCCTTCTATTCCCTCTTCTGTCCCAATCTCCACATTCCCCATATCCCCAAACTCCAGCTCCAACCCTGTCACGTCCTCCTGTTTTTCCTCCTCTTCCTCCTCCACTTCCTCTTCCTCCTCCACTTCCTCTTTCTCCTCGTCCTCCTCATCTTCCTGGTCTCCTTCTCCCTCCTCCACATCTTCCTCTTCCTCCTCTTGCTCCTCATCCCCCTCGACCGCAGCCTCTCCCCCTCCAACTGCACCCATGGTTCCATCCCCAAACCCCCCTTCCCCCGCACCCTGTCCTGCTACCTCCTCCGCTTCCTCCTCCCTCTCTTCCTCCCCATCCTCCATCTCCTCCTCTTCCAAGTCATAATCCTCCTCCTCTCCTGCATCACCCGCACCAACCCCTTCCAGACCAGCAGCATAATCAAACCCACTTCCACCAGCATCCCCACCACCAACACCAGCAGCAGCAGCACCAGAAACAGCACCACTGCTACCAGCGCCTGCATCGTCCTCCTCAAAGGCCTCGTCTATATCTTCGTAGTCCTCAGCGTCATCAGCTTTCCGGTCGTAGTCTGCTCGTTAAGGCAGGGTCACGGGGACACATAAGCAATTTTCTTATCAAGACAAGGAGGCGTGCGCGCAGTAAATACACAAGTCAGGTTCCCAGTCCTGCGATTTCCCATCGCTTCCCACAACGTCTGCTTCGCAAATATAGCCTGCTCGTTCAGCAGCGGCAACGGAGAACCGTTTGAGAATCAATGTCTCAGAAAACAGACTCACCATCATCATCATCACCAGCTTGCCCGGCCCCTGACCTCGCCTCAAACTGCCAGAAAAGATTGAAGGCACAGGAAAACGGCAAGGAAGCATCAAAGCAGGCTCGCAGACGCCAAGCAGGCTGAGCTGAGCGGCGTAGGATGCCACGTCTTTTTTTCTGAGCGCAAAACAGAAGATAGTCAACCAATCACATCTTTCCATCCCAACAGCACTTCCACGTCGGTCAAGGCTGGGCAGAGCTGGGTGTTAGTGGGGTGCTAAGTCAAGTACTAGGTCAACCCCGAAAAAATATCACCTAAAGAAGAGAAGAAACGAATTATCTAACACCCAACAGTACCTCCATGTCAGCCAAGGCTGGACCGAGCTGGTCCGCCAATCCAGCTAAGTGATCCCTCGCCTCCTGTGGGACAAGACAACGAACCAGCGGTGTAAGAGACGGTTCGGGAGGGGACCAACGTGTAAGAATTGGTCCAGGAAGGATAAGACAGACATAGTCACCGGAACCAGACAAGACCAGTCAGATTTCGCTAGCGTGCAACACAACAACCCCAACCAGCAATCGTTCCTGCCAGCACGCAAAGAAACTGACTTCCACGTTCTTAGCGCAATATTATTACAGTTTATGCTGAGGACTTAGTGGCAAACAGCCCTATAACTACACGAAATGTTGATGGTATTTGATGAATAAAGACGAAACCGGGTACTCGTATACCGACCTCATCCATGTACTCCTCCTCCAGCGAACCCTCGTCGTTCACATTCCCTAGCATAAACGCCAGCATGTTCGGCACACCCCTCTCCTCGTCCTCCTCCTCGTCGTACTCCTCCTCCACCTCCTCCTCGTCCACATGCTCGTCGTCATCGTGACCCTCGTACCCGGTATTGTGACTAGAGTAATCCATTAAAACGACGCCTAAAGAAGAGAAAAAATGTTACGTGGGTGCTATCTCGCGACGAAGCTGGTCCGTAAAACAACTCGTGGTTCAGTAAGCTTCTTGACGAGTACGATAAGTTGTCAAGGATACGAAGCGACTACGAGATATGAAAGCGACCAGCAGCACACGGCGTGAAGCAATATCTACCTGGTTGAATGAAATCGCCTAATTCATAACCTTGTTAGGTCCAAAACTCGGAATCGTTTGCCGTAACTTTCACGTCATCGCGGGAGAAAACGTTATAGCACAACTGCAGATAAACTGAGAAAACAGTCTCCCTGACTTAGTGACTAGTCCTATTCGTTGACCTGTTTTCATCATACCTAGCTAGGAAGGCGTCCGTCTGGATGAAAAATGGATTTTGCTCCTAGTGAAGGCATTACCAAGGCGGGAGGGGCGAGCCGCGCGGGTGCCCTGGGGTCCCTTTTGCACCAGACCACATTAAAATTTCCTAGATGTCCGAGTGGGTGAATATTCTTCAGGATGGACAAAGATCGCGGGTTCGATCCTTCTGGGTGAGAGTGTTCAACTGCATATCCGTATATTTGGTTCCCTAAATGAGGAAATGTGTAACAGGCTTGACATGCGAAGTGATATGCGAAACTACCTGCCCAATTCGTGAACGATTGCCACGTTGCGCAGGGCGATTGATTGGAACTGTCCCACTGTCAGAAGAATTTCTGACTTTCAGGGCCAAACCATACTAGTACCTTCGTCGATTCAAAACCCTCCACCCAACATTGGCGCTCAAAATCTGGCCAAGCCCAAATCTGGTTCCGTCACAGCCTCGACAGGTGACAAACAGGCTAACCAAGTCCGGTATCGAACCTGTCACACAGGCTCGATCTCCGAGTAACTCAAGGAACGCACCTGTTTGCATGTGTTGAGACAGTTTTCAAGTTCGCTCTCTGAACCGTCCGATCTTTCCCGCCATAGCAATCGCTCACCGATCTGGTTTTCCCGCTGCTCCTCCCTGTAATTCATCAGCGCGTGCAATCCCTTGGTTCAGGAGGAATCAGGAACCATGGAAGCTACAGTGACGACTTTCTTTTCCACTGCTATGCTAGCTTTCCTGATCTTGGATGTGTCTGTCTGTCGTCCCTAGGATGACACTGGGTAGATCGCTGCTAGCTTTCTCAGCAGATGCTGAGCAGTCCTGATCACCGACTAGCGTCGGGAGCTCTCACCCGTCCTGACACGGTCGTTATTTTTTGTTAGCTTCCGGAATATGCATCCTAACAGTCAAGAGACCGATCTGCTTAGGCGTATGTTCACGCTTGCTCATGTCATTAGCCTCGCAGGCTGAAACGACCAGGCACTCTGTCTCTCGTATGTCCTCATTGGATCGTTCGCCTTCTCACGGTGTACCTCGATATTGCCGAGATTCGCCTGGTACTGTGGATGCCAGCCAAGGCTTCCGACCGAATCGGGTACCTGGTAGTCACGCTGACCGTCTAACAATTCGACACCTATCGAGCGTCGACGAGAATAGCTATATCGCGTACAGCGACCTGAAGAGCGATCACTGCGCAACAGCTGACCTCGTGAAAGGGAAGCATATTCCTGACCAGAGCTCTCCGAATGCTCGTCGTCCGCTGGTAACAAATCTGACCAATCATCACTCGCGGCTCCATATGGTCGTGAACCAGCCTGCATCTTCGCAGGCTCAAGGGGGATCCGATACGCGGCAACGGACTCCGGTCGCTGAAAGTCGCAACCACCGCGATACAACCGAAGCTTCTAGAACCGACCCTCAGAACCAGCGCCAGCGTGACGGAAGCTTGTTTACGGACAGTCACAATGGGTCGATTCCTGTTGGAAATCGGACGGCGGAGGAAGAGGATCCGGCACTGGCGAATGGCGCGTGCCGCCAGGTTACAATTTTTTCGCCATCGCTGCAGTCGACACAGCCGAATCCGACGGATCGTGTAGCGCAGCGCGAACAGAAATCTGGAGATAGGGAACGCAAAGGAAACACGGCTATAGGGCTTTCCGGTGCTGCTAATAGCGCGGACAGGAAAGATCAAGGGATGGTCACCTCAGCACAGCAAAGGGAGGGGGATTCGGGGCCTCGAGTGGCCCAAGGTCAGGAGGCCGGAGCGGCTGCCGCTGGTATGCCTCCACTCCGTAGTTCACTCCGAGGAATGGCACAGCAACAGGAGCATACGAGAGTGCCAGAGAAGGCTTACCAGCAGCTGCTGCAGCAGCAGACAGCGCAGCAGCAGCAGCAACCACAACAGCCGCACCACCAGCAGCAGCAACAATTGCAGCAGCAGCAGCAGCAGCAGCAGCAACAACAACAACAAAAACAACAACAGCAGCAGCAGCAAAATCTTCAGCAACAGCAACAGCCGCATCAGCAGCCGCAGCAGCAACAACAACAATCCCTGCAGCAGCAACCACAGCCGCAACAAGCACAGAAGCAGCAGCAACAACCACAGTTTCAACAAGCACCGCAGCAGCATCAACAACCCCAGGCGCAAAGCCACGAGGGGCAGCCGCAGCAGCAAGCTCAGGTAACGGCGCAGCAGCAGCAACATCCCCAGGCGCAAGGGCAGGCGCAGGCACAGGCGCAGGAGCAGGCGCAGGCGGAACAGCAGCGGATGGCATCCCCAGGTCAAGCTCAGCAAATGCAGACACAGCAGGCGCAACAGTTTCAACCGCAGCAGCCTTTTGCCTCTCCGTTTTCCGTGGTGCAGCAGCAGCAGCCTCAACAACCTTACTATCAGCAACCACTGCAGCAGCAGCAGCAGCACCACCAGTACACGCAGCAGCAGCCGGTTCCGCAGCAATTTCTCCCAGCCCCAACCCAACAACAGGCGCAGCAGCAAGCACAGCCACAGCAGCAGCAGTACGGTCCACCTGCGTACCAACAGCAGCATCTTCAGCAGCTGCAGCAGCAACCTTTTTTACAGCAGCAGCAGCAGCAGCAGCAACTCGCATCAACACTGCAGCAAAAGCCAATGCCTGGCCATCAAACAATGACGCAACCGCAGCAGCAGCAGCAGCAGCAGCAGCAGCAGCAGCAGCAGCAGCAGCAGCAGCAGCAGCAGCAGCAGCAGCAGCAGCAGCAGCAGCAGCAGCAGCAGCAGCAGCAGCAGCAGCAGCAGCAGCAGCAGCAGCAGCAGCAGCAGCAGCAGCAGCAGCAGCAGCAGCAGCAGCAGCAGCAGCAGCAGCAGCAGCAGCAGCAGCAGCAGCAGCAGCAGCAGCAGCAACAGCAGCAGCAGATGCAGCAGCAGCAGCAGCAGCAGCAGAAGCAGCAGCAGCAGCAGCCGCAGCAGCAACAGCCACAGCAGACGCCGCAGCAACAGCAGCAGCAACAACAACAGCCGCAGCAGCAGCAGCAGCAGGCACCGCAATTTCCTGTCGAGGGGTCTCAGGCATCCTCTTCCGGTCCTATGATGAACGTTGTGGCAGTGATGCCGCAGCAGCAGCAGGGGACGGCGCAGCAGGGCGTGGCGCAGCAGGGCACGGTGCAGCAGGGCACGGTGCAGCAGGGCATGGCGCAGCAGGGCACGGCGCAGCAGGGCATGGCGCAGCAGGGCATGGCGCAGCAGGGCATGGCGCAGCAAGGCATGGCGCAGCAAGGCATGGCGCAGCAAGGCATGGCGCAGCAAGGCATGGCGCAGCAAGGCATGGCGCAGCAAGGCATGGGGCAGCAAGGCATGGGGCAGCAAGGCATGGCTCAGCAGGGCATGGCGCAGGCACAGGGCATGGGTCCACCTCAGATGGTGGGTCAGCTGCAGGCTATGGTGCAGGGACAAAGCACAGGGCAGCAAGGAATGTCCCACCCTCAGATGCATCAGGGAATGATGCATCAGGGGATGGCGCAACAGGGGATAGCGCAACAGGGGATGGCGCAACAAGGCATGGCGCAGCATGTAATGGCGCAACAAGGCATGGCGCAACAAGGCATGCCGCAACAAGGCATGCCGCAACAAGGCATGGCGCAACACAACATGGCGCAACAAGGCGTGGTGCAACAAGGGATGGCGCAACAGGGGTTTGCTCAACAAGGCATGGCGCAACAAGGGATGGCGCCACAAGGCATGCCGCAACAAGGGATGACGCAGCAGGGGATGGTGCAACAAGGGATTGCGCAACAGGGGTTTGCACAACAAGGCATGGCGCAACAGCAAGGCATGGCACAACAAGGGATGATGCAGCAAGGCATGGCGCAACAAGGGATGGCGCAACAAGGGATGGCGCAACAGGGGATGACTCAACAAGGGATGGCGCAACAGGGGATGACTCAACAAGGGATGGCGCCACAGGGGTTGGCGCAACAGGGGTTAACGCAACAAGGAATGGCGCAACAGGGGATGACGCAGCAGGGGTTGGCGCAGCAGCAGGCTCCACAGCAGCCGATGTTTGGCTTCCAAGGGGGCCCATCCGCATTCATGCCACACAACGGACAAGCCTACCAGCAGCAGATGCAACAGATGCAGCAGGTGCAGCAGGTGCAACAGGTGCAGCCGATGCAGCCGATGCAGCAGGTGCCCTCTTTCCAGCAAGGCCATCAGATGCAACAAGGCCCAGTACCTATGCAACAAGGCCCGGTACCGATGCAACAAGGCCCGGTACCGATGCAACAAGGCCCGGTACCGATGCAACAAGGCCCGGTACCGATGCAACAAGGCCCGGTACCAATGCAACAAGGCCCTGTACCGATGCAACCAGGCCCGGTGCCAATGCAACAAGGCTCAATACTCATGCAACAAGGACAAATACCGATGCAGCAAGGTTCGGTGCCGATGCAACAAGGCCCGGTGCCCATGCAGGCATCACCTGGAGCACCCATGCAACCAGGCCTGCCAATGCCCCCACACCAGCCCTTTGCTGCTCCTGCCGTGCCTATGACTGTGCAAGTGGTGGCCGCTTCCCTTTCTGCGCCCGTGCACCAGCAGCAGCCCCAGCAGCAGCAGCAGCAGCAGCAGCAGCAACATCAGCAGCAGCAGCCGCCTGGGCATTTACCTGGACACAACAGCATGCCTGGTAGGCAACAGACTCTCGTTTCCCTGATGAGACTTGGCTACCCTCCTCTCTCCATCACGCACTCATCTACCTCCTCTCTCGCTCTCTCTTGCATCCCCCCCTTCTCCTTTCTCCCCTCGCATCCAGCAAACGATCTCGGCTGGCAATTTCCTTCACGGTTATGCAGTGGCAGGAGCATCCATCCCCCCCCCCTTCCACACTCTCACTCTTCCATTCCCTTTTCCCTCTCTTTCCTGCCCCGCTTTCTCCAACTCGCTCAAGCGACTTCGGGTCGTGGGCGCCCTTCACAGTGACGCAGTGGCAGGAGCTGGAGCAGCAGGCGCTCGCCTTCAAGTACCTCGTGGCAGACTGTGGAGCCGTCTCTCATAAGTCTTCTTCCCTCTCTTTCCTTCCCCCTTCCCCCTGCACCCATCTCTCAGGCGACTTCGGGTCGTGGGCGCCCTTCACGGTGACGCAGTGGCGGGAGTTGGAGCAGCAGGCACTCGTCTTCAAGTATCTGCTGGCAGACTGTTGACACATCTCATAAGTCTCCTTCACTCTCTCCCCACTCCCTCGCCCCCGCACATCCTTCAGGTGACTTCGGGTGGTGGGCGCCATTCACAGTGACGCAGTGGCAGGAGCTGGAGCAGCAAGTTCTCGTCTTTAAGCCCATTGTGGCAGACTGTTGACACGTCTCTCATAAGTCCCCTTATTCCCTCTCTCCCTGCTCCCCCCCCCTCGCCCGCACATCCCTCAGGCGACTTCGGGTCATGGGCGCCCTTCACAGTGACGCAGTGGCAGGAGTTGGAGCAGCAAGCACTCGTCTTCAAGTATCTCGTGGCAGGCGCGCCCGTTCCCCCTCACCTTGTTGCTGCACTCAGAGCCTCCTGCGCGCGCCTGCCCCCCTTGGCAGCACTGCAGCAGCCCCCTAATGCCCCCGGCCAACGTGAGTCCCTCTCCTCCATGTGCATGACCGTCCTATGTCCATCCATCCTATGCATACGCTCGTTCCTGTGCTTGCTGCTCCACTCTCGCTTGCATCAAGACTGACCGTTCCTTTTCCTCCTGTGCCTCTCCTGTGCACTCTACTTCTGTCTCGTTCTCTCCTGTGTCGTCGCTTCTGACTACTTCTCTCGTTCCAATCTTCTCTCCTTTCTCCTCTCTCCTCGTCCCGCCCTTGTCGCTCCTCCCTCCACCAGCAGCGGGGTGGGGGCAGGTGACACAGCAGGTGGAGCTGGAGCCGTTCAGATGCAGACGAACGGACGGCAAGAAATGGCGATGCTCCAGAGAGGTACGTATGAGAAATGGGGATTTTTCAGAGATATTTTTTTCAGGATTCTTTTGCTGCCGTTTTCCCTCCTAGAGGCATGTCCAGCACACGCCTGTAGGCACGCCCTGCTTTTTTTAACTTCCGTCCTCCATTCTGCTGTCTCTTTGTCCTCTCCATCCGTTTCCCCCATCCTCCTCAGGTGGTGGTACCGGATCAGAAATATTCTGAGCGCCACATTTCTGGGGGTTGCGACTGCTCCCTTCACCTCTCCTCTCTCCCAATCCCTTCTCCCCTCTCCGCCGCCCCCCCTCCACCCCAGGTGGTACCGGATCAGAAGTATTGTGAGCGCCACATGCATCGCGGGCGCAACCGTTCCCGCAAGACTCATGACCGCGCTGCTCCTGGCATCTCCCTCGTTGATGCAAACGATGCTGATGATGGCCCACCTCCTGCTGCTGCTGCTGCTGCTGCCGCTGGCGCTGGCGGTGGTGGTGGTGGTGGTGGTGGTGCTGGTGGTGGTGCTGGTGGCGGTGGTGGCGATACCACTGGTGGTGATGCAAGCACCCCAAGAGCAGGAGGTGGTGCAACTGGTGGGGGTGCAGGAGGAGTGGGTGCGGGAGCAGGGGGAGCGGAAGCAAGAAATGCGGGATTGAAAGCAGGTGATATGACCCCATCTAGTCTCAACACCACAGATCTCAACACTTCCCAGAGAAATACTCCTTTTCCAGGCAGCGCCACTTACCCTCCCAGTGCCACTTACCCTGCCACTGCAACTTACCCTGGCAGTGCTCCTTATCCCGGCAGTGCCTCTTACCCTGGCAGTGCCACCCACCCTGCTGCTGCCACGTTCCGCCCATCTGCGGAGGGAGCAGCAGTTCCAGCGGTGCTGCATGGGAACGCCCCACCTCCACTCACTCTCCCCCCTCCCGTGCATGCAGTCGCGATACCTTCTGCAGGCCAGGGCGGGGTGGGGCAGGGCGGGATGGGGCAGGGAGGTGTAGGGAATGGGGGAATCGTGGCAGGGGCAGATGGAATGCAGCAGTCACAAGGAGCTAGTGAAGCAGTGAGAGGAGCACCAGGGGGGATGCAAGCAGGAGTGCAAGGAGGGGTGCAGCAAGCAGGGACGCAGCAAGGAGGGATGGGAGGAGCAGCAGCAATGGGCATACAACGAGTGGGAGAAGGGTCTCGAAGAGCAGGAGAGGGGTCTTTCCCCAGCCAGTAGGTTCGCCTCCTCACGGATCTCTCTCATGGGCGCCTGTCTCATTTACAACGTTCACTTGTTCCATGCCCTCCTCATACCTGTCATTCCATTTTTGTAGTCGTTACTTTTTTCTGACTCTCTTCTGATATCCTTCTAGCCGATTCCAGAAAGGGTATCTGTCTCCGTTGCTTCATGACCCTTCCAATAACCCTCCTCGCCATACCCTCATCTCACCCCTGTCTGCCTCAGTCCGTCACGCTTCTTTGCTCCTCTGGCAGTTCAGTGATTTTCCCGTCGTTTCTCTCTGCTTCGCCTCGTCTTCTCAGGTCTCCTGGTCAACCCGCTGCAGCACAGCACCAACCATCCTCCCACCTGCAACATTCACAGCAGCACCAGCAGCACCAGCAGCAGCAACATCAGCAGCAGCAGCAGCAGCAGCAGCATGAGCAGGTGAGGCCAGGGCAACAGGCAGTGCAGTTGCAGTGGGAGCACGGTCGCTTGCCCCGGCAGCCCTTCTCCTACCAACCATCGGGCCCTCTGCCCCCACAGCAGCTCCACCCACCTCCTCCCTCCCCTTCGCCCACGCACACTCCTGCCAATCCAATGCAGGCCGGACCTGCCGCTGCCTCGAATCTCGCACAGCAGCAGCAGCAACAGCAACAACAGCACCAACACCAACAGCAACAGCAACAGCAACAGCAACAGCAGCAGCAGCAACAGCAGCAGCAACAGCAGCAACAGCAGCAACAACAGCAGCAACAACAGCAGCAACAGCAGGCATCAAGTGCAGCAGCCCCAGCAGCACCAGCCGCACCAGCAGCAGCTCAGGCGTCTCCGCGCCTGGGCAGCACCGGAGGCAGTCAGCTGCTGCCAGGGCACTACCAAATAGGAGGGCCGCGCCTGCACCCCTCCCCTCTCATGGGGCCCAGGGCACCCCTCCGTGCCTCCACGCCCACACACGGCCCCACACCCCTGCGCACGTCAACTCCCATTGCATCCACACCCACACACGGCCCTGCATCCCTCCATGCTTCCACGCCTGCTCCCTCCCCTCTTCAAGTGCCCAAAGCTGCAGCACCCCCGCCCTCTCCTTCCCTGCAAGTCTCCAGGCACCCACATGCCTTATCATCTCCCTCTGCTTCTCCCGCTCCCTCACCCTCTTTCCACGCGCTCAAGCCAGCTTCCTCGCCTCTCCTCCAGGCGTCTAGGCTCGGAGCATCCCCATACCAGCAGCAATCGGTTCGGCCAGCAGTCTCCCCGTTCCAGCATCAGGGAGCAAGACCAGAAGGTTCACCTTTCCAGCAGGCAGTAACACCAGCTGCCTCACCTTCCCCGCAAGCACTGTCGCAAGGGCCTTCCCGTTCCTTTCAGCCGGTCAAGCCAGCCGCTTCCCCTTTGCTGCGACCAGTGGTCCCTTCAACGCTGCACGCTCACGCTGCTGCTTCCACTGGCGGGGGCGACGGCAGGACCGCTGACGGTGACGGTGCTGTGAATGGGGCTGGGCTGCGTGGCAGCAGTGGTACTGCTTCAGATGGGCGTCGGAGTTACACTGCTGGGGACGAGGGTGGAGCTAGTGCGGGTGCTGGTGCTGGTGGCGGTGCTGTGAAGGGGATCGGGGCCAGGGGCAGTAGTGGTACTGCGAGTTATGGCAATGCCCACAGCAGCACGTATGGAGCTGCTGTGAGCTCGAGTGTTGGGAGAGCAGAGGGCAGGGACGGTGCGAGAGGTGGGGAGGAGGAGGCATGCAGGGAGGAGAGAGTGGGAGGTGGAGAGAGGCCGCGTTCAGCTGCTGCTGGTGCTGCTGGTGCTGCTGGTGCTGCTGGTGAAGCAGCTGGGGGGGTGCGGAAGGAGAGAGGAGAGGCTGTAGGAGCGGTGGAGAGTGGCTTAGGCACGGCAAGGCCATCTCCCAATGTGAGCCCTCCACTCCATATGTTTTTTTGGCGCCTAATCAAGCAATTCCTCACAATGTTGTGAGGTGCCTTCAATATAGACCTGCTTAGGCACAGCAAGGCCGTTTTCCAGTGTATGCCTGCCCACCAATGTAGGGCTTGTTTTACCACCTGTTCCCAACACCTTGTTTTCAACCCCTTGTTCCCAGCCCCATGCGCCATGCTGCTTTTGCTTCTGCTTTTGCTGTCATGGGCCCCTCCCCAGGCCCTGTGGTCATGCAGTTTCATAGATGCTTTGAGCTGACTCATAGCTTTTCTTTCCCCCTTCCTCCCATGCAGTGTGTGCTCCAACCGCCATTCAGCCAGGCAGAAAGTGGCGGGGGTGACAGCACTCATGTCATAAGCCCTTCACCAGGCCCTGTGGTGATGCAGTCCCATAGACTTTTGTCACCGCTGCAAGCGGGAGCGCCACAAGCTGCACTCATACACAGGAGATAAGCAAGCATGCACACGCACCAGCGAGACTTGCACTGGTGACAGGAATCGAATGCGCTTGTTGTTATTGTCATTTCCTGATCAGGATTGAATTTCTGTGGGATGGGGAAGCATTCAAGCACCTGCATTGCCGAGAGCAGGCTTTCTGAGTTGGTAGAACTTACTAAAGATTAAATACTGTAGTTTATACTACAAAGCCCATACTAATATACTATGAGGACAACTAAGACAGCGCGCCTCCAAGTTTCCCGCTTGCCAAATTATACCTACCAGCACAGTGGTGGCGCGGTTGCGTTGCGGCCGACCGATGATGTCAGCTGGAGACGTTGAGCTGACATGACATGTGTTGACAGTGGCTCTGTTCTGTAGGCATTTGCCCGAAGGGGGAGGAGGGGGGGCGAAAGCAAATGACCGGTGTTCCTACGCAGTTTCCCAACCGAGATCGCCTCCACCCCGCTACAACCGAAAGCGCGAAACTTCGGGAGAGAGGGCGGAAACTGCAGAAGGTAAATGGCGAACTTACATGCTCAACTTCGCGCCCCATTGGCAGGGGTACATCGAATCGCCCAAACCTCAAAAGCGGGGTAAACATTTGCATAAGGGGGTTCAGCGCTGTAAAAAAAAGGTTGCAAACTCAACTCCCAACTTTCGCAACACATCTCAAACATCCACAGCAGACCACCACCTCTAACCAAGCAGGGTGGTTGAGAGCGAGCTTTTTTTGTCGATGGGGTTGTGCTTTTCTGTGGGGGTTACGAGCAGCCTGAGGGAATGACCGTAGAGGGTTGAGAGGGGGTGTCCCCACCCCCCGTACCTCCCTCCCTTGTCTCTCGCCCCGCCCTGAAAAAGCGGGTTTCGAAGGGCGGGGCGAGTGGCGTGTTTTTTGCCAGAGAAGGAAGGTGGGGAGGGGAAATCGGTAGTTTCGTATGGGCCAAAAACCCACGGGGGTAAATGGCTGTTCTGTAGCCATTTCCCCTGCACAGGTTCGGAGGGGAAATGGCTGGCTCGGCACCGTCTGCAAAACGGTTAGCCGTTCCGGACCAAAAAACGAAGGAGGGGGAAGCTACCTATTTCCCCTCGCCCCCCCGCCGCCAGGGCCTACAGAACAGAGCAAGTGTTCCAGCATACAGGTACTACCTACTGTATGAGGATACAATAACTGATCCAGTGGCTAAACACAGGTGGATTCGGTAGTACTAGTGGTTTTACCCAGAGATACGGGGGTAAACACTTGTGCATACCTGTGGTTCAACAGCTTACAACCAGCAGGCAAAATAGTGACCCCCGTCCCAAGATGTTCCTACGGTATGAAACACCACTTTTTGCCCTTATCAAGGTGTTTTTTATCGAAGCACTTACGAAAACAACTGTTTCAGAGAGTAGTATGGTCACACTAATGAACCATGAACATAGACGACGGATGATCAAACCAATACTCCCCCAGAATCTTAGGTGAAGGTAAAACCTGCTGGTCAGTATGAAAAATACCGGTACAAAGTGAATCATGTACATGCACACGCGATCACAGTCGAATGAACACTGCAGTGCACACACACCTGTATGCGTGTGTGCAAATATGCATACACATCCATCCTCACTGCACTCTCACCACTCACTCATGCACTCTAAACTATGTCTACTCTCATTCCTCAACTCCTACACTCGTACCACTCACTCCCATCACCACCACAGATCCGATCCGAGTCTTCACCACTCCTCACCACTCTTTGTCAAACTATGCATATTGTGTTTGTGTAGGCTGCTAGTGGGGTAGCCCATATGGGGTACAACCCAATGTTAGGGTTAGCTTATGTACCCAACACTTCATCAATGCAACTCATTCCTGCTGTCAGATTCTAACATGGTTTCAGAGCACTAAGGTCCGTAGGACCGCTTTTTTTTTCGGGCCCACCTACCACTGCGGTTACCGCGCTACCCCACGTACCTGCCTGCCTTGCCTTGCCTTGTGACGTGCTGCACTACGCGAGCCGTCCAGCAGCCCTAGCGCTGCCTCCTGCTGCCCTAGGCCAGCGCGCTGCCCCTAAAGGCCCGTAAGGCCCGCGCGCCGCCCCTACACGCCCTCCAGGCCTGCGCAGCCCGCACCGAGCCGCGCGCAGCCCGTTGCTACCGCGCGCTGCCCCCACTGAGCCCGTGCAGCCCGCACAGAGCCGCGCGCAGCCCCCTGCAGCCGCGCGCAGCCCGCACCGAGCCGCGCACAGCCCGCTGCAGCCGCGCGCAGCCCGCACCGAGCCGCGCGCAGCCCGCTGCAGCCGCGCGCAGCCCGCACCGAGCCGCGCGCAGCCCGCTGCAGCCGCGCGCAGCCCGCACCGAGCCGCGCGCAGCCCGCTGCAGCCGCGCGCAGCCCGCACCGAGCCGCGCGCAGCCCGCTGCAGCCGCGCGCAGCCCGCACCGAGCCGCGCGCAGCCCGCTGCAGCCGCGCGCAGCCCGCACCGAGCCGCGCGCAGCCCGCTGCAGCCGCGCGCAGCCCGTGCCGAGCCCACGCAGCCTGCGTAGCGCCGCGCGCGGGCCTACTCCTGCCTCGCGAGGCCCGCGCGCCGCCCGCTGCAGCCCGCGCGCGGCCCGCAGCAGCCCGCGCCGAGCCGCGCGCGGCTCGCCACTACCTAGCGCGGCCGCGCGCGGCCTGCAGCAGCCCAGCGCGCTGTCAGCGCAGCCCGCGCCGAGCCGCGCGCGTCCCTCTGCCTCGGCCCCGACCTGCCGCTGATACGGCCCCGCTCTGCAGCTGCCACGGCCCCGACCTGCCGCTGAAGCGGTCCCGCCTGCAGCTGCTTCGGCCCTACTCTGCACCGGGTGTTGCGGCCCCGACGTCGCCGCTGTCGTGCGCCTACTCCGCCGCCGCCCGTTGAGCGCCGGCCCTGCTCGCCCGGCGAGCGCCTGCTCTTCCAGCCTTTGGTGAGCGCCTGCCTGCCTGCCTGCCGGCCTGCCTGTCTGCTTGCCTGCCTGCCGGCCTGCCTGCCTGTCTGCCTGCCTGCCGGCCTGCCTGTCTGCTTGCCTGCCTGCCGGCCTGCCTGCCTGTCTGCCTGCCTGCCGGCCTGCCTGTCTGCTTGCCTGCCTGCCGGCCTGCCTGCCTGCCTGCCTGCCTGCCGGCCTGCCTGTCTGCCTGCCTGCCAGCCTGCCGGCCTGCCTGTCTGCTTGCCTGCCTGCTTGCCTGCCTGCCTGCCTGCCTACCTGCCTGCCGGCCTGCCTGTCTGCCTGCCTGCCAGCCTGCCGGCCTGCCTGTCTGCTTGCCTGCCTGCCGGCCTGCCTGCCTGCCTGCCTGCCGGCCTGCCTGTCTGCCTGCCTGTCTGCTTGCCTGCCTGCCGGCCTGCCTGCCTACCTGCCTGCCTGTCGGCCTGCCGCGCCTGCCCTGCCCGCGCTACTGCTGCTGCTACTGCTACTGGCCGGTGGCCAGATGCAGCCCCAGCGACGTTCACGTGAGTCTCTCACGCCCCAGCAGCTTAGTGAGTGGTATACTAGCTGGGGTTGTCGCGGTAGCAGTCGTAGCTGTCCCCCTGGAGCTGGTCCGTTGGGAGCGACTGGCAGTGGCCAGCTGCAGCTGCAGCGGCGTCCGCGCGAGACACTTACGTCCCGGCAGCTCCACGAGTGGTACGCTCAGTGTAGCAGGTCTACGCGTACAGTTCGCTGCCAGTACGTCCTTCGCACAGGTGATAGGACTGGTCAGCCTTGCGGGACGCTTGGTCACACACAGTCCCGCTGCTTCGCCCGTCTGAGCGACGACTGGCGTACAGTGTTTGGCGACGAGGCTGAGCTCCCCGACTGGCTGGAGCTGCTTGGACAGAGGGTAGATATCTTTGCTCCTGACTATGATGCTATTCTCACTGCCATGTATGCATTGCCTACTAGTGTTGACCGTGCCTGTTACCTGTGCGTCCCGCCTGACCCTGGTATAGCACCTGCTGCTCCCGGTACTGGTGAGGCTGCTGCCCTAGGTGCTCGTGCGTCTCCTCCTCTGGGTGCTGGTGAGGCTGCTGCTCTAGGTGCCGGTACGTCTCCTGCTCCAGGTGCTGGTGGGTCTGCTCTCTCTAGTTCTGCGCCTGCTGCGGCCTTGTACACCTTCACGCTTGACTCAGGTGCCTCCCGCTCCTTCTTTCGCGACTGCACCACACTCACGCCGCTTAGTCGGCCGGTTGCAGTCTCCCTGGCGGACCCCTCCGGGGGTCCAGTCCTTGCCCACTACTCCACGGTTCTGCCGTGTCCGGCCGCCCCGTCTGGCTTGCTGTCAGGTCTTTACCTCCCCTCGTTCTCTACGAACTTGGTGAGTGGAGCTGACCTCCAGGATCAGGGGGTGCACCAGTTCACTCCTGCGAGTCAGCGGGTGACTCACTGTACGTGTGCTCGGACCGGCCGACACCTGGCCACGTTTTCCCGTGCGCCTGGCTCGAGTCTGTACACCCTGACCACTGCGTCCGCTCAGGTAGCTGCGTCTGCGTCTGCGTCCGGTCAGCCGACGGCCCCCTGCGAGTGTCGCGCTTTGTCGCACCAGACCCTCCTGTGGCACCACCGCCTTGGTCACCCCTCAGTGCAGCGCCTTCGTGGCATGCACTCTCGCTTCCTGGTTTCTGGTCTGCCCAGGTCTTTGCCTGCCCTGCCTCCCTCGCTTGCGCCGCCCTGCATTCCTTGCGTCGAGGGGCGGCAGCGCGCCGCTCCTCACTCCTCCTCGTTCCCTCCCACAGAGGCTCCCCTGCAGACTCTCCACCTGGACGTGTGGGGCCCAGCCCGCGTCCGTGGACAGGGCCACGAGCGGTACTTCCTGCTGGTTGTTGACGACTACACGCGTTACACCACGGTCTTTCCCCTGCGCAGCAAGGGGGAGGTCCCTGCTGTTTTGATCCCTTGGATCCGCGCTGCCCGTCTCCAGCTCCGCGAGCGGTTTGGGACGGAGTTTCCCGTCCTGCGTCTGCACTCTGACAGAGGTGGTGAGTTCTCCTCCGACCTCTTGGCAGCCTTCTGTGCGGAGCACGGCATCACCCAGTCGTTCACGCTTC